GGGCACTCTTGTGGGACACTGTTGCGGGACACTCTTGTGGGACACTCTTGTGGGACAATGTGGGGCACCCTCTTGTGGGGCACTCTTGCGGGACACTCTATCTGGGACACTCTTGTGAGACACTCTTGTATATGGGACACGCTTGTGGGACACTCTTGTGGGACACTCTTGTAGGACACTCTTGTGGGACACTCTTGTAGGACATTGTAGGACACTCTTGTGGATCACTCTTGTAGAAAGCTCTTCCGGGCCACTCTTTTGGGACACTCTTGACACCGCCAATCATCCCGCTCACCAGCGACACGCCGCGTTTACACCAGCATGTTTCGCGCTCACCAGTGGCACGGCGCCACAGTCTGCCCACACACTGGAAGCAAACATATCACATGATACCACCAATCATCCCGCTCACCAGCGACGCGCCGCGTTTATGCCAGCGTGTTTCGCCCAGTGGCACGGCGCCACGCAAACGCACTTCCCACCAAGGCCACGCAAATCCGCGTGGCGCTGCGACATCGCGAACGTAATTTCGCCACGCGGTACGAGACGTCCTCCAAAAGTCATGCGTGCAGTCTGCCAAACGAGCGTTTCGTACAAGACGAGCGTTTCGTACGAAACTTCCTCCAAAAGTCATGCGTCAAGTCTCCAAAACAAGCGTTTCGTACGAGACTTCCTCCAAAAGTCACGCGTCAAGTCTCCAAAACGAGCGTTTCGTACGAGACCTCCTCCAAAAGTCACACGTCAAGTCTCCAAAACAATCGTTTCGTTTCGTACGAGACCTCCTCAAAAACTCACACGTCAAGTCTCCAAAATGAGCGTTTCGTACGAGACCTCCTCAAGAACTCACATGTCAAAGTCTGCAAAACGAGCATTTCGTACGAGACCTCGTCCAAAAGTCACGCGGAAACACCCATCGGAGCACACACACACATCACGCAGCCCCACCGAGCAGTTTCGCGATTCCAGTCCCTCCAAACAACACCCGCTCGCACGCCAATCCCAATGTCACAGCGACATTCACCTCTACCGCAACTCACAACCTCACGGTGCCCTGCGTTTGCCACGAAACTTTCCGCGTCCACACGTCTAACGCGCACACGGTATTGTGCCTGCCACGAAATGTCACCTCTGTCACGCCTCGCAACTTCACGATTCCCTGCGCCTGCCATGAAAAGAGCGCTTCCACACCTCAAAACCCGCACAAAGTACTGCGCCTGCCACGAAATGTGACGATATCATATCTGCACCACACCACACGTTTGGAATGGATTCGACCCGTTCTGAGCACACTCCCATCCACCAAAACCGCCGCAGTTTTCTGCGCAGTTCCATTGGGATTGGCGTTTGGAAAAGTGGTGTTTTTGGGGTGTTGGACGTGGCCGTGCCATTGGGGTTTGCGTTTCAGGGTGTTGCATCGAAGCTCTGTTTTCGTGACAAGTCTGAGCTGAAATGGAGATCACAAAACGCTGCCCCTGCGCAGTGAAGTTCTCCTCCACACTTCAACATCTTACATTTCTACGCATTTCCACGCTATTTCACACGAATCTGACACGTCACGTTTCCATCCCAAACCCTCCCCCAAAGGCAGCGGCCTTAGCGCCCTACTGCGGTCACTTGCGGACGGTTGCGAACGCTGAGACAGAAGGCTCCACCCCTAGACCCCCAGAGTTAAACGAGAACCATCGAGAACCCTTCGCTATGCATTCGGGAAAGCACACAGAAGAACAAAATCACGGCGCCGTTTTTGTAATAGGGGTTCCCCCTAAATGAAGGGCAGCCCGCGTCAAGTGGGAAGAGCTTCAAATCCGAACAGTTGCCCAGGAAAATCTTGTATGACATCCTCTATGGAACTCACATCAATAACGGAAAAAACATGAAAAAACTCCAGGTCGAAGGGATTCGAAGGGTCTTTCTTCATTTTCCCTTTGCAAAACCCTTCATCAAAAAAGGGATGTTTGTGTTTTTTTTGCATTTTCTTCGCTTGTAAAAATTTTTTCATCAAAACTAACAATTGGTAGATTTCCTATCCAGATCCATGCGGATTGTGGAAAGCACGCTTTTAAGGCTGCCGTTGGCAAAGGGCGTGCATGCATGTGTAGGTGCGGCGTGTCGCTGGTGAGGCGTGTCGCTGCCATTGGTGGTGATTTTAACAGCCTTGGAGGGGAATCCGGTTCCCGGAGGTTTTGCTCATTTTGGCGTCTTGGGCTGTGATATTCCGCAGACGTGTGTCTCAAAAAAACTGGTTTGGTGGATGTCGCATAGCACGCAGTACATGCTTCGAAGATCTGCCACGGAAGTGCCCCGTGCCACGTGCGCAGACAGTGCTCAGCTGTCCGCTGTCCTGGTTTGCGGAAGTCATGCGCATGGCTGTCCTGGTTTGTGGGAGAGATGCCCGCACAAGTGTAAACGACGCGCGAAGGTGGGCAGAGGCAATGTTTGACGATGTTGTGAAGTGGACGAGTAAACTCCAGCCCCGCGGCTTGAACACTGCGGCTGCACGTGCCTGTTGAATTAGGACGTGTTATACCTGGATCCTCCTTTAGGCTAAAAAGTGCCAGACCTCAATCCGGCAAAATTTTCCGCCGGATTCCGAAAAAGACGCCGAGGGCCTGAAAAAATTGAAAAACACATCCGGGAAAGGTTGGATCATACACCGGCAAACTGCCTCTTGCGCCACGATTAAACTATATATAGATTTTCTGGAACACACTCATTCCACAACCCAATCACTAGAGCTTTCCCGTTCTCGCCCATCTTCCGAAATGCCTAAGGGCAGGAATTCACAAAATATACAACAAGCAAACTTGTGCCCAAGCAAAGACTTCCAAGAACAAAACAAGGAGTATGTGGCAAGGAACCCCTCTTTCTCTGCAACCGTGTCTCTGAAGCTCTTTTACAAAGTGGGTTGCTCTCCAGGATTTTTTGTTTACCTCAGGACCTCGACCCCCTAATAAACGTAGCAGAACTCATGGTTCCAGTCGAAACCTTCAAGATTCAAAACCGTCAAAAGAGGGAGTCCGGAAAATTACGCCGGAGTACGGGAAATTACGCCGGATTTATGGGAAATTACGCCGGAGTCACGGGAAATTACGCCGGAGTTACGACGCGCCTTTTTTTGGGGGGGGCAAATCTCTGCAAAACATTGAAATTCTGAACGGCACACATTCCATAACCCAAAACTTGTCCGGCAGGCTCTGCAAACCTGCGTAGCTAGAACTATTTCCCAGCGCCCCGACATCATGAAACAGTGGGAATACATTATCTTTCAACTTGGGTACACCACTTACCCCTTTCAACACGTGCATCGCGCTGTATCGAATTCATTTAGAAGATCACCTAAACGGATTTGATTGAGCCAGTGTGAGCCACTGCTGAAACCGGTGGAATGAGAAAACAGCTGAACAGGCAAATGAGCACAAGTTCAAGCAAAACTATTCGTCAGTAGTGGATATACCTTCAAAGAAATGCGGACCACAAAGAATGCAAAGCCTTGAGAATCTACATAAAGTGACTTGGAAAAACTGCCGGACCAAATCCAGAAAAACGCCGGAGTTGGAAGTCCGGCGCCGGACCCTGTAAAAGTGCCGGGACTGAAGATCTAAATCTAGGTATAACTGCCGGTGAAGTGATAGGTTATGAAGGCTTAACGCTGGTCAAACTAACTGGTAGGTGGCAAGTGCGATGGTGCGTGATTCGTGGTGGAGTGGTGCCCATTGCCCTGTTGGTGAAATGAAGTGGTATGTTGTCACTCACAAATTGTACCTCTCAGATCCTTGGAAGTGCTTTTCTTGCCTGTGGTCAGTGGTGTTTTGACAGCACGGCGAAGTGGCTTACCGGGTTGTTACTGCTAGCGTGTCGGGAGGATACAACTAAGTGTATGTCTCTATGAAAGCCATAGAAGTAGGGCATCAGCACTCACCATGGTGTTCTGCACATCGGGCGTGACTTGGGCGTGACTTCTCTACAGTAGCGTGACTTCTCTAGGGAAAGGCATCCAAGAATAGGTCAGGCGTGACTAAGGAATGACATTTCCCTCTGCGAAGTGCTTGTGGCGCGTGAAGTGGTGTGCCGCGACAGCTTGAAGAGGTGGTTGATTCCTACCACTCTCGATCGACCTCGTTTTCGATCCAGCTGACTGGTTGCTTGCTTTGCTTTCGACATGCGCATGCCGCATGCCGCTACAAGTATATGATGTATGTGCCGACCACACGACTTGCGCGTGGTTCACATGCGAGAACACCCACATTTCATATCATTTCACAAAAGGATCATGCCTTTAAACCATCCAAGGGGCCTCCTGCTTCGGCAAAATGCACGGATTCCAAGGAGCTGCGTGCCCTTTGGCTTCGACTATCTGAAGGGAGTGGTCAGGTTCTTCGAAGCCCAAATCGGCGGCGAGATGCTGCAAGACTCTTTAGAGTGCCTGCGTGGTGCTGAATCGCCTGCCCAATTCACTGGGCCACTCATCATGATGCTGGGGATGTGGATGACGCTTGGGCGTCATTTGTGATGCAAAATTGTATCGTGATTGATGTAGGATGTGCTGGTAGGGGGGGCCAGACCTCCAAATCTCCCATTCGGTTGGTTATGTTGGTTGAGATTGTTATATATTGTTTCTGAAGGGGCTGCATGAACGCATCAGGATCATGATCCTCATGCTGAACATGCTCATTGCCATGATGGCGAAGACCTTTGATCGCATCTACGAATCTGCCATGGTGGATTTTCAGTATCATTTCATCGGGAATTTGCTGCAGATGATCGAAGAGCCTGCGGTGCCGCCCATCTTGCGGACTTTGGGGGTGCCTTGGAGGATTTGCTCCACCTGCTGGTGGTGGATTTACCAAAGAGGCAGCAAGCTTTCTGAGAAAATTGGCACAACACAGAAGGCGCAACAAAAAGTAAAGTTGCGCGAGTCGAGCTTTCATGATATGCAGAAAGAGCTGCAGGAAAGAGAAGATAAAGAAGCAGATATTCTGAAAGCAATGAAACTCAGATTTCTTGACAAGAATCTTACACATGAAGATTGCATCAAGATGCTCTACGCCTTTGTGACCGAGTTTATCTCGGAGCATGCCTCTGACACGCAGGTGCAAGACGATCTTTGGCGGAAGCAAATGGCACAGAAGCTTTTCTTGATGGATATCAAGCTAGAGACCAAGGTGGATACTTTGAGAACACAGCTTGATGAAATGTCAAAGAACATGAAGAGCATTGAACAATCGCTCCAAAAGCTGACCGGAAATTCTGCGGATTCTAGCCTGCAGAGTAAGCCTGACGTGGAGGGAGTTCAGAAAGATACCACCTCTTGGGGCTAGTTCATCGACACCGCATATACATTGACACCTCCTTGAAGAAGGACGTGATATCTAAACAATTTCAGTAGTCTAGTGGGGACGACGCTCCCAACTTGTATAGGTTTAACCCAGGACTCTCCTGTCCTGTAATGGCCAAGCCTGCAGCAGAGAGAGCTTTTCCATGCTTTTGGCATTTTTTGCTTACCGTTATGATGGTGCCCAGGCCTCGGGCAGGCTTTTTGCATTCTGACTGCAACATGCTGCCCTTGCCCTGAAAGCGCCTTTGGAATTGTTTCACCAAGCCAAGCAGCTAGGCTAGGCTAAATAGACTCACTAAAGACCAAAAACTGCTGATGAACTTGAGTTCCCGACTGACTGCACTTTCTTCATGAGGTTTAGTCCAGCCATGGGCACGTACGCCTTTGTCAATGTTTAGCTTCTCGAAGCGCTTGGCCTAGTACCATTCCACTGGGCATTGCGGTTTTGTCCTACATGGATCCACCAAACCTGGGATGAGTATTGATTTCCTCCATCCCGTCATGTGTCAGTGTAAGGACAGTAGTATGCATCTCCGGAGTTTCTTCTGCCCTGCAAGGATGGTCAGGGTCTCGCGAAGTTTGTGAGATGGCAGCTTGGTGGCCCTGCTTACGAGGTGAAGCGCTCGGCGTCTAGACGCCACGGTTGCCACCTGTTGAAGACTTGGATGGGCCGCACAATCCACAGCACAAGTTGGAAGCAGAGCAAAAAAAGCAAAGGATCCAAATGAGAAGATGATTGGTGAAGCAGTGAAGTATCAAAGGATCAATGATTTGTGTGTTTTTCTTTGACAAGTGTTCTTGTGAAATACGCCAAAAGATTGGTCAATGCTGGCTGTGCGACGGCAATGGCCATGTTAACGTTATGTCAACCATCTAGCATAACTCTGATGGTTTTGCAAAAAGCCAAAAACAACTATACTAAATGCAAAAGCAAAAGAACACAAATCCACAAAGAAAAAACAAATGAAAAAAGCAACCTCCAAAAAAGCAAATGAAAAAGCAACAGCCAAAAAAGCAAATCCAAAAAGCAAGAAACACAAATTAAACAGCAAAATAGCACTAAAAACACAAACAAAGCCAAACAACAAAAAACGCAAATGAAAAAGCAAAGCAAAAAAAAGCAACACCAAAAAGCAAAAAAGAGTAAATGAAAAAGGACAAACCAAAAAAACAACGCCAAAAAACAAAAACTAACTGACAGCAAAAGCAAAAAACACCAACTTTTTCTTTCTTTCTATTCGCGCACAGGGTCCGTAGACTCAGCGCCTTGCCGAGTTGAATTCTGAATTAATCGCGGGTGATAGTCAGGCCCCTCTCTACTGTGCTGCTCTACATGCGACACATGCATAGCTTTTAGCCACGCTGCGTCACTAGAAGGGTTACCTGACTGGAGGCTTGCACCTTTCAGCCAATAATCGAACAGCTTCGCCAAGAAAAAGCAAAACGCTTTCGGATACTTTTTCAAGGAGCTAGTGGCCCAGCCCCTACCACTCAATCGGATCGAAGCTGAATAGGTGAACCTCGTTGTTCTGCTAGCGACTTCTACCTCTGATGTTGTATCAGACGACAGGCCCGCTATCAGTAGATTTGTGGGTTTCGCACTCTTCGCCCCGTAGTTTCCCTGCATGACTTTCAGATCATGGAAGAGTCCCGCGCACCTCAACCAGTTCATCAACGAAGTCTGCCACACACTCGGGGCTTGTGCATGCTTACTTCGAAGCTCAAGGAGCTCCAAAATATGTTCCAAAACAGCAAGACCACCGCTCAGTGCTACCTCGAGTATGACGAGAGCAGCAAATCCCATGAGTTCGTTCCCAACATCAACTTGGCGACCTTCATGGATACTAATATCCAACGCCAAAAAGCAAAAACAAAGTAAATGAAAAAGCAAAGCTGTTTCCGAAGCTAGGCACTATCGCCTGGACCGACTTGAGTCAAGGCAGCATATTTGCGGACTGCAGACTGTTGGGGCATTTGTGTGCGCATGTAGTGCATATAGTATGTGCTTCTATGTTGCCGCTGCGCGCCTTTTTAATAGGCCAAGCGGCCAAGCAATGGGCACAGCTAGCCGCTAGCTGGCCGCTGCTAGCTTGTTTTCCGGCCTTTAAACAGCATGCCACAGGTCAGAAGCAGGCTGTTTTTGCTAGCCTGCTGCCTGGCGCGACGGCCAACCCAGCCCCGGCAGGACACCAAAAAGTCGTCGTGAGAGGTCCCCGCCCCACGCCCGGACCACCCCCAAAAGGCGCCAAGGCGAAAAGCGAAAAAACAAGCGCAAAAAAAACGCGAAACCACAAAATGGCAAGCAAAAAAGCGAAAACAACAAACACACACTATGAAAAAAAACACGAAAAGCAGAGCGAAAGAAAAGCGACACAAACAGTTGAAAAACAAAAAGTAATACATAAAAAACATTGAAAAATAGGACGCCATCACCAAAAAGATCCCCCTTGGAAAAAACACTACAGAATGGATGGCCTTAGGGCCACTACAATTCTGCATTTTAGTTTATTTTTTGGCTCCCTGGGAGGGGGTGGGGCCTTGCAATCTATATAAAAGCGAGGTTTCATTCCCGGGAATGAAGAATTGTTCTCGGGCCACCTGCACTTTGTATAAAGAATTTTTGTCACATGTTGGAAGCACGCCCATACTTATAAAACAATATACTTCTACAGAATGACAGTGCCCATCCTTTGGTTGTCAATTTTGGAAGTCACCAGTGGGTGCACTACAAAATGAAAAACCAGAGTTTATAGATGACTCATTGTTCAGAGCTTGAGGTTAGACCCTCCATTTTGTAGTGCACTTTGTCGTTTCTCAATCTTTGTTTCAGTCCTTGCATTCTATAGTGAGTGTCCTCGAGCACTTGCATTGTATAATGCCAAAACTCTGGCTCCCGCAAATCATTTCTATAGAATGAGCGGCCCAACCTCTCCATGGGTATTTGAAGCGGGATCCAAAAAGCAAAAAAGTGGCGCCAGAGCAAGGGAGCGCAGCCACCAGAGGGCATTCTGCGAAGGCAAGGCACCCCCCACCACCAGCAGAAGTAAGCAGGGGCGCGTCCAGCCTCCACAGCCACCAGGTGACCGCAGCAAGCCGCCAAGGCAAGGCCCCGCCCACCAAGAACAGCAGAAAGTAGGGGATTGTTTGTTGGTTTTTTATTTCCAAGATTCTCAGAGTTAGCCTGGGTCCGGCGAACGTAATGCTAACGAGTATGCCGTGATACACTGGGGCTGCACTTGGTTGCAACAATGTCAAGCCAGACCTAATATATATATATATACATACAACTCCCATAAGCAGAGCCAGTGGTCCATAGATCAGCGTGCCAGGAAGGTGTGACATGTTGTGACTTTTGTGCGAATCGTTGCTTTTTGAACGAATTTCAGTTGTTGAATGATTCATCTAATTATAATCAAGTCTGAGCAAGGTATCCCGGTTGGTGAAGGAATTGCACAGTACTCGAGTTATGGTGCGCACGTGGGGCATTGAGTGTGCCATGGCCCATCAACGCGATTGCGTCTATAAGGCTGGGAACCTCCAGCTGCGATGTTGGCGCACTGGCACCAGCACTGCCGATTTCGAGCTTTTGTGGCAGGCAAGGATTAAGACCATTCCCCGTGACATCATATTGATCAAGACAATTGATTTGAGATGATGCCAGCTGCACCTTGTGAGGCTGAGACAAGCGAAGGCAGGAATTGGGAGGGCGACTGGGGTGCAATTCGTGGAACTTGCATCCTAGTTTTTGATTCTGGACTTTCAGCTACTTACAGCTATTGGGCATCTCTGTGAGACGACTCCGGGACGAGTCATGCCCGCCAGAGCGAGCGAGAGAGAGAGAGAGAGAGTTACAATAAACAAACGGTTTCGCTGTCCACCACTGATGCCAGCGGCTATGCCACGCCATGTGTCCTCAGTAGTTACATGGCAATGTTTGTGCATCCCTGCGGCACATGTGAGCTTCAAAAACGGCCGAGCTAGCTTTTGATGGAGGAGACTGGACCGGACCGGATGGAGGAGAGTCGATCGCCGAAGGAGCCAAAGGAACCAAAGGCAAAGCATAAGGTTAAGAAGGTCTTCAAAAAATCAAAGAGAAGGACGGAGAAGGAGAACAGGGGAACCATGAAAAGCCCAAGACATTTCAAGATGATGTGGTTCGCAAACGTGCGTTTGACATGCACCATTTCACTCAAGTTCAGAAATCCTCCAAGGCCTACTGCAGCTTTTGTCTATCTTTGCGTCCCTGAGGACAGTGGGCTAACCTCAGTCACTGGGAATGGCGAACAGCCTGACGAAGCTGAGGGAAGCGAGGAGATATCCACAGAGGCTGAGACCTCTCCAAGCCCTTTGCATATGGGCCCAGGCTCCAGGCCTGCAGATCTTAAGGAGCCAAAACTGCATGTGACCAGCTTCACAAAACCCACGGCAGAAGTGCGACCCCAATTTTATACGTGTAAGTATGCCACCATTTGCTGAAGCTACCTACTACATTGTACTGGTTGTGATTCTGTGTGAAGTTCGGATTTCATGCCTTGATTGCAAGAAAACATACGATCTCTACCTGGTTCGTTCGTCCTGGGCCACGCCAGGACCGTGCGCTCTTCGGGCATGGGAGTTCCGAGACAGAACCTGTGGCCCACGAAGGAGAGGCCACGGCAGGAGCGTCAAAGCATGAGGATCTCGACACGTTGCGGACGTTGCTCGGAGAAGCGGAAAAGGGGACCGTTGTTTGGGAAGAAGAAGACTGCGAAGGTGCCATGGTCTTGCCCAACATTGCGGGTGTGGCCTTGTGCTAGCCATGTTAAATAATGGACCAAATCCCCGGGAACACATTGAACTCTTGCACACCCTCACAACTACCGTAGTGATGTGGGGCGCATGCTTATATTACGAGAGCCAGCCGATAGGCTGGGCTTGAGCTTTTTAGAGCGAACGAAGTCAGTTAAGGGGGTGTTGGGGGGTGGTCGAGAGGGTGAACCCAAGGGTCAGAAAAGCAGTGAAAATTGGGTCTGGTGATGCGAGTGATGGATGCAATGGACGCCGAGTAGTGCATCATTTGCATAATGAAGGATTTGGAGGCTACTTGGACAGACAGGGGCCAACGTACAGAGCAGACCGCAGCCGCACGTAGGGTTCGAGTTCACTGGACAACCCGCAACCCGCCAAATCCATAGAGAACCGAAAGTGACACGAGTTCAAGCCCATGAATTTGGATTGAGGCTCGGTGGGGGTGCCTGCGAGGTTGACTACATATCCGTATAGGGTTCCTGCCCCCTAGCAAACACTATACTTGCACCATGTCCTCGGTCAAGTGACTGCTTCTCGCGGCGTCCACACACACCGAAAAATGTAAGCCCCCCGCTATGAGCCCGGACACTTGGACCTGTATGGCACTGTTTCTTCACCCCACTACTTTCCATGCTGAATTTCTATTGAAAGCCGCTTGCTTACTATTCGTTTGAGCCTGTTGTCCATGCACATTCAACTTCCAACAAAACTGCCGGCACGAAGACTATTGGATCGCCTGCTTCGTCTTGCTCAGCCGGGTCCCAAGCTTTGAAGATCTTCTTCTCCTTCGACTACCTGATCGCAAACTCCTCTCGCAGCCGCGCCCCGAATATATTCGGGCACCTCTTCATTCAGAAAGAGCAGGCCACCCTCCGCTCCCTGGATACTACGCTACGACAGCTTAACGCAAATCCTCACTCCTTTGCTAGCCCAAGCTACTCCCGCTGGACCTCCCCTTCTGTGCCGCGGGGCTATAAACGTCCGTGTCCCGGTTAAGACGTGCCCGTTCACTCGTCCGAATCCACGCATGCGGCTTTTCGACGCGCCGGACGCATTGCAAACTTCAACCACTGTAGCAAACGCATTCTTTTCAAACGCATGTCGGGCGCGCGGCGGGACGCGTGGTATCCCACCACTCGAACTCAGACAGTATTTCCCCTTCGCTAATCCTTATTTCGCCTTCCAACTTCCATAAGATGCATACCTTCCTGCATGTGACAAACACATACCATTGCCTTGTGATGATGGCCTACACCAACATTCAACGTATCGCATTTCTCTTTCACTACTTCTTTCATACCAAACTTATCCCGAAGCCGCCCGGCTTGCTTCCCTGCTCCCTCCATCACCATTATCATTACATACCCAACCGCGCATCCGCGGCACCGCTGACTCGCAAGCTGTCGACCATGTGACTTGTGCCGCGACGCGCGCACTGGTCTGGCGGCTGCTGGCTTTCGTCCCCCACTTCTCAGGTATGTATATATATATATATATCTTTATACAATTAGACTTACATGGACACACACCTACACAGATACATACATACACACACGCACATACGTGCACAGATACATACACACACATACGCATACACATATACACATAGAATCACATAGACACATTCAGATACAGATACATACAAGTACGTATATGTACAAGTACATATTGCATATACATACATATACACATATGTACATTTACACACACATATACATAAACAATCATAAACAATTGCACACATGCATTTAAATATGCACATGCATGTACATGTGCATATTTATTACGGCTGAGTCAGAAGTCCGTTTCCATCGCCCCATTGGGCCTGAACATTGTGGGCAGGTTCTGCTGCTCGTGGTGGTTCGCGCTACACCGTCTTTTAAGGGCCTTGCTGAGTAAGCCACCACAGTTTCGACCAATTATCGGACTTTTGCAGGCCACATTCCGTATGACCATTCTTGGCCCTCGTAGCAACCCTACGCAACGGCCTTAGAGAAACCGGTGCAACCACCTCCCCCAACAGCCCCAGTGCAGGTGAGACAGCTGCAGAGCTCTTTATCAAAGGGGGCACCGAAAGGTTCAGGAGTTTGTCTAGCCGAGCTGAGATAGACGTGCGGCAGGCGCTTTGCTGCATGTTTTACTTCAGGGTGGAACTCACACTGAGGAGAACGTCAGAGTTCTTGATTTTCCTCTTGGCCGAAGCCCGCGTTCGCTTGGAGGAGGACCTAGAAGAAGGGGAACGTCTGGCTCGGATGCATGGTGAAGTACAGCAGACAGCCATCGTCCTTGTTGAGAAACTCCGGGCAAACGACCAGGAGATGCTTTGGAGCACACAAGCCGGTCTTGAGATCCTGATGAAATTCCAACTTGGTGATGCACGACTCTTCTTTGCCCGCCCTTCATTGCAGCAGATCATGCTCGATGTTTGGCAAGGTGTCCGTCCAGACTACTTTCAACGAAGCTGGTGCAAGCAGTTGCAGGTTTGGATGTGGCTGCTCATGTATGGCATACCCAACTTAGTGATGGTCTTTCTGTGGGCAGTGGCACCTGAATTTGAGCAATACATGCACACCCAAACGATCTCGCGCGCGGACGCCGCACGACAAGAAGAAGAGAAAAGCTGGCACAAGATCAGGGAGACCCTTGAGAAGTGGCCTAAGTCCAACTGGCCCTATACCGTGGAAAGCAAGAAGCAGGCGGTCTGTTTGGAGTGGCCTTATGCAGGCGCAAAGAGCAAGAGGCAAAAAAAGTGCTGGGACCTTGCTCAATTCAATAAAGCGATCCGAGAGGAATGTCGTGAGCAAGTCTTTTTGGTTCAATGCCGCCTTCCACTCCTCATACCGCGCTATAAGAAGTATTTAGCCATTCTGACCAACCTTGCATTTGCTGCTTACTTGATCGGAGAAACACCCGATGAAGCTAACGCAGTGGCTGTGCTCATCCTGAGCGCTGGTGCCTGGCTAGGCGAGGTGGCGCAGCTTTTAAGCTTTGCAAATTCCAAGGCTGGAGCGCAGAATTCTTTCTCCTTTTGGTTTATGGATCGAGTGAACGTGATGGAGTTGATCGCCTTCACTTGCATTGCATGGGCGAGCGTGCTGTGCTTGATTCAGCAGGATTGGATTGAGTTTGCTCAGCAGTTCAAAGCCTTAGGGGTCCTCTTCCTGGGCATTTCCCAATGCATGGCCATGTTGCGCATGAGTTCCGTCTTTGGCCCCTTGGTGTCCATGACGATGAACATGATCGTAGACATGATCCAGTGGGTGACGCTGCTGGCCCCCATCATCGCATGTCTCGTAGCCGCTTTGATCACCCTCTTTAAGACGAAACAGGAGACGCCTGGAGCCGATATCATAGTATCTTTCAATACTTTCTCAACTGCCACTGGAGCCATCATGATAGTCTTGTCGTATTCATGTCTGGAGATCAGACCGTGGAGTCTTCAGGTTGTATCAATTTAGCCACTGTTTCAAACGTGTCGTGCCTATTCCAAGGAGCGATTGCCTGCCATTTGGATCCAACTACTTGAGGGGAGTTGTCGCCTTCTTCGAGGTCCAAATCGGCCAGGATCTGGAATTTGAATGCCTCCGAGATCCGGAGAAGTCGCCTCACACGGTCACCGGGCCGCTCATTATGATTTCGGGTATGTGGATGCTCCTGGGTCGCTTCACTGGTTTTGTTTTGCATTTGTTGTATTCATTCTTTGGCTTCTTAGACGTTTTGTTTCTTAGATGTGCACGCCTCAACATCAGGATTCAGATCTTGATGCTAAACATGCTCATCGCAATGATGGCCAAGACCTTTGATCGCATCTACGAATCTGCCATGGTGGACTTTCAGTACCAATTTATCGGGAGCTTGCTGCAGATGGTGGAAGAACCGTCCGTGCCGCCTGTTTTGCGGACCTTGGGGTTACCTTGGATGATGTGCTGCACCTTATGGCGGTGGACCAAGGGCAGTCGTGAGCAGATCACCAAGAAGATATGGACGACGCAGAATGAGAGCAACTCAGAGGTTTGGTTGCGCTTGTCGAGCTTTCATGCCATGCACCGAGAACAGCAGCAAAGAGATGCAGTTTCGGGAGAAGTAAAGATCAGAGGGGACGAAGATGGCAGACCCACAGATCATGACCAGTGCATCGATCTTCTCTACAAGAGCGTGACCTCCTTCATCTCAGAACATGCCTCAGACACACAGGTGCAAGACGACCTTTGGCGGAAGCAGATGGCGCAAAAGATTTGTTCGGTGGACATGAAGCTGGAGACGAAGGTGGATGCCTTGACGACCAAACTCGACACATTGACCCAGACTTTGGAGGCTCTACTTCCGGATAGCAAGAAGGCCAGGAAGTCGGAGGCCGCAAGGCATCTCAAAGATCGCACCCGCTCGGATTAGAGATGACCTGCATATTAGCACATATTAGCATCTCTTTAGATTCCGCCGTAGAGGGGACTATGCTCCCAACCGGCTTACACTAAGACCAACCCAAGTACAATCTGTCTTGTTCTGCAACGGCAAAGCCTGCAGCAGACATGCCTAGCTGCCTAGTTTTTCCATGCGTTTTCCTTTTATCGTTATGGTGGTGCCCAGACCTCGGGCAGACTTTGCATTGTGATTGCAACGTGTTGCCCGTGCCCTGAAAGCACCTGCGGAATTGTGTCACCAAGCCAAGAAGCTAGGCCGCTAGGCTAACAGTCCCGCAGGCGCCCGAAAACTACTGATGAACTTGAGTTGCTGACTGCTTGATGGGGTGCAGCCCAACCATGCGGCCATCAATGTTCCGCTTCTTTTCACTGCTAGGCCTAGCGCCATTTCCACTGGTCATTGCGGTTGGATCCACCAAACCTCCACCTCCACCCCTTCAATTGGGACCTTCCGGTGCGAATGACAACCGCTTCGCCACTCCACTTCGTCACGGACCTTGGCTCTGCCAGGAGAACCTCCGATGGCGAGACGCCCAGTGACCACTGCACCTCGGTCCCGAGGTGAGAGGGGTGTTGACGTCACCGGGCCACGTCACCAGACTTGGGCATTGCGAGGGCGTCCGGGGATAAAACGGAGGATTTTTTCTTTGATTAGACTCCTTTGCAAACACATCCCCGGAGTGCTTTTGGTCAATGTTGGATGTGAGAACAAACTGGCCGTGCTTACAATGATGCTGTGATAACACTTACTTACTGTATGATATGATATGTTATTAATATGGAAACATCTTATACATATAGAACCATAAAGATATAATCATAACTTACCTATATATATATATATTATATGCAGTATACACAGTAAACTCATCCAACGATGCGGTATGATTTTGGCGGGATCCTTGTTTTCAATTGGTGACTTAAATGGCAATCCTGGGTTTCTCGGACGCAGGATGCAGTGTGGCTTTCAGAGCGCCGCGACCCTGCACTCCTCCATTGCGTCAGCTTCCTGCCGGCTGAGTGCCTGGGACCGTGGCCAGGTTGAAGGTTGCGAAGCACAGATGTAAACACAATATTGCACTATGTTTCACTTCTTGATTGTAGTTCACTTTCCAAATCGAGGCTTGCATATAGTGTAAGAATCGTGAGTTCTAGCGACAACACAAAATTGATCAAGAAAAGAGAACTTCGTTTTGAGTTTGATGCAAGATGATGCAAGCTAGCATCCGAAACCGAAGCCTTACGAGGCTGAGTGGACCAGCCAAGGCAAGAATCGGGAGGGCAAGGTCGCGGTGAGGTGCCAGTGCAAGTTCTCGGAGCTTGCAGCCCTAGTTCCTAGTGTTTTTATGTTTTCAGCTATTTGCAGATGGTTTGACAAATTTTTGTCACTGCACTTGTTATATAGTTATATAATTGGTTACCGATGGTGGCACCGCCATGCACCAATCCTTGAAAAACGTTTTATGTGCATCTCTGCCCGCAGCACCTATAGCTTAGCTACGAAGGGCGTTTCGCTCACCTCCAAATGGAGGAGAGTGGACCGACCGAGCCCAAGGAGCCGAAGGCGAAGCTTAAGGCCAGTAAGGCATCCAAAAAATCGAAGAAAGGGAAGGAGGAGAAGGAGAAGTGATGAGAAGTGTGTCACAAGATGTCACAAGCCATGGGGAAGCGAACAAGACATGTCAAACGGTGTGACAGGATGAAATTACAATGATACAATGATCATTGCCTTTTCCCGAACGTTGGTTTCATTCGCATGCAAAGACCGTCAGGGATCTTCTGAAGATCCTGTAGTAGGGCCTGAATGCCTGCAGCTGTTTGTCCATCTTGGGGGTCCCTGAGGACTTTGGCTTGACCTCGGTCATTGGGAATGGCCAGCAGCCCGACGAAGCCGAGGGAAACGAGGAGATCTTCACCGAGACTGAGACCTCGCCAAGCCCTTTGCACATGAGCCCAGGCACCAGGCCTTCGGATCTCAAGGAGCTGTTGGGTGGTCTGTTTGGAAGTTGAATGCTGATAAGTCTCACTCAACCAACAACAGATGTGGGACATTGTTCTTAATCCATCGTTTGCTGAAGTGTTTCTATACTTGTGATTCTGTGTCAAGTTGTGAGCGCCATACCTTTGTTGAAACTACACTGATCCCGAGATGTCCTGACCAGGATGGTCAGCTTTTGGCTGATTTGGAGAGTTCCGAGATGGAGACCGAAGAGCCAAACCCGCCGATGGAGCCCGCGGCCAGTGCTGCGGCCATCGCAGGTGGAGCGTCAAAGGAAGAGGATCTCGATGAGTTGCGGAAGTTGTTCAAAGACGTGGAGAAGGGTCGCGTTTGGGACGATGAAGACCATGGAGGCACCATTCTACTGAATTTTCTTGTATTTTCTTGTGCCGATCACGGAAACCAGAAATTTTGAGCGTTGATGTGGGAAACCTGGATCGAGGGAAGGGCCTTTACCATAGGCTAGACTCCTAGACACAGGTATTGTAGAGATATGCGGGCACAAAAGTAGGCGGAGCTATACAAGGGATCCAGAATGAAACGAGAATGAGCTGAGCAATGGGATGTTTGACACGAGGAGGTATTTTAGTTTGGTGCGAACAAGGACGAGATATCCAGGAGTGCCAGATGGATAACCAACATAGAACGACTTGATGTGACCAGTGACCACCTTGCGCAACGTATCCACCACAGGTGAGACGGCTGGAGAGCTCTTCATCAAGGGGGGGGCAGACATGTTCAGAAGTTTGTCCCGCCGGGACGAGAAGGATGTGCGGAAGGCACTTTGCTGCATGTTCTACTTAAGGGTGGAGCTCACCCTGAGGAGAACGTCAGAGTTCTTGATTTTCTTACTAGGCGAGGCTCGAGTTCGCTTGGAGGAAGACCTCGAGGAAGGAGAGCGTTTGGCCCGAATGCACGGTGAAGTGCAACAAACAGCCATCGTGCTTGTAGAGAAGCTCCGGGCGAATGACCAGGAGATGCTTTGGAGCACACAAGCTGGTCTCGTCATCTTGATGCAGTTCCAACTTGGCGATGCACGACTCTTCTTTGCCCGCCCTTCATTGCAACAGATCATGCTCGATGTTTGGCAAGGTGTCCGTCCAGACTACTTTCAACGAAGCTGGTGCAAGCAGTTGCAGGTCTGGATGTGGTTGCTGCTGTATGGCTTGCCCAACTTGTTGATGGTCTTCCTTTGGGCAGTGGCACCTGGCCTCGAAGAGCACATTCAAGAGGGAGTGATCTCCGGTGCTCAAAAAGCCCGAGAAGACGAGACATCAACATGGAACAACATCTTGAAGAATCTTGGGGAGAAAGACTGGCCGTACAGGTTGGGAAAGAAGCTATGTTGGGATCCTGAAGACTTTGAGAATGCAGTGCGAGAGAAATGCCGTGAGCGCGTCTTCTTCGTCCAATGCCGTGTGCCGCTGCTCATTTCACGCTTCAGGAAATGTTTGGCCATCTTCACCAACCTTGCATTCGCTGCTTATTTGATCGGAGAGGAGCCACGCCAGGCCAATGTGCCGTTGGTGTTGATCCTAAGTGCTGGTGCCTGGCTGGGTGAGGTGTCTCAGCTATTGAGCTTTGCGAATTCTGATGCTGAGGCACAGAATTCTTTTGCCTTTTGGTTTATGGATCGAGTGAACGTGATGGAGTTGGTCGCCTTCACCTGTATTGGATGGACTTGCGTGCTAGTTTTGATTCAGGAGGATTGGACTGAGTTCGCACAGCAGTTCAAAGCCTTAGGCGTGCTCTTCCTGGGCATTTCTCAGTCCATGGCCATTTTGCGCATGAGTTCCGTCTTCGGCCCATTGGTGTCCATGACGATGAACATGATCGTAGATATGATCCAGTGGATGATGCTGCTCATTCCCATCATCGGATGCCTTGTAGCTGCTTTGATCACCCTCTTCAAGACGCAGGACACGAACCTTGGTGCAGTCAGCGTAATACAAATTGCCTTGTCATCGGTTAAAATTGCCGTTGGACAGACAATCCTACACATCATAAGTTTAAGTAATATAGAACATTTTGTGATAGAGATGGAAGGTCCCTGCCCTGCTATAGCAGATATGTTGCACATCTTTGAGGTGCTTGCAAATCACACGGAGTTTGCCGTGCACTCATTCTAAGGAAGTGCTTGCCGTTTGAGTTTGACTACTTCGAAGGACTGGCCCGGTTCTTCAATGTCCCGATTGGTCAGCAGTTTTCCTGGAAATGTGACGTTTCCCCAGCAGAATTCACTGGGCCACTCATCATGATGCTGGGCATGTGGATGATGCTTGGGTTTTGCATTGTTCGAATGCTGTCCTGGTGGTGTATTTAATAAATTTGCAGGAATCGGAATCACCTCTTGATGCGTGCACTTTTGATCTAAACCTCCAGACCTCCTTGTTGGTCAAACAATTTTTGCACGGGCAGCTTGAACGCATAAGGATCATGATCCTCATGCTAAACATGCTTATTGCAATGATGGCCAAGACCTTTGATCGCATCTATGAGTCGGCCATGGTGGATTTTCAGTACCATTTCATTGGGAACTTGCTGCAGATGGTGGAAGAGCCAGCGGTGCCACCCATTTTGCGGATGTTGGGCGTGCCTTGGATGGTTTGCTCCACCTGCTGGCGGTGGATCTCCAGAAAGAGGAGCGAGCTTTCTGAGAACAATGGCACCGCAAGCCCGCAAGCTGTTTTGCTGCGCAACTCGAGCTTTCATGCTATGCACAAAGAGCAGCAACAAAGAGATTCAGGTTTGAGAGAAGTCATGATCAGAGTTGATACAGATGGCAAACTCACAGATCATTACCATTGTGTTGATCTTCTCTATAAGAGCGTGACATCCTTCGTTTCAGAACACGCCTCGGACACACAGGTGCAAGATGACCTCTGGCGGAAACAGATGGCACAGAAGCTTTTTCTGATGGATAAGGAACTGAGAGAGACAAAGATAGACACCATGAACAAGCTCGACAAATTGACTGAGCAAATGGACGCGTTGCTTAGAAGCACTGCGAGACAAGCTCAACCCATGACGAGCTAATTAGAGTCATAGACATCACCTTCAAACCAGATGACCCATGTACATCTCCTCTCGTGATTCGCGCGTCTTTCAAAGGGCATTCTTGTTTATATTTTGGGCTTGTCCCATTACCAGTAACAGTAACAGTAATATATCATTATCACATGTTAATTTTTAAGTCGAGTCCTTACTAACGATCATGATCCACGGTTAATTCCTGGTAAGAAGGTAGATTATTATTGCGTTTAGAGTTGCTGGCAATTTCAATTTGATCCTTGCTGCAAAGGCAAAGCCTTCAGCTGGAATTTTGCGGAACCTGCCAAGCTTTTCCCAAGGAACTTGTGCCTAGACATGTTGCAGGCTTTGCAGGTGTGAAAAACATTTGTGATGCCTGCAAGGTGTCCACACAACTCCTGAGCTCGGCCGGCTTGACCTGAAAGCGATAAAACGGATAAAGAAAGCGCAGCTGGAGAGAGGACAGACTTTCCTTTTAGCATATTTGCTATATGAGACCAGTCTAGAGGGAGGATCCTTTTGTGCCTTTGTGGCTTTTGTGGAACATTGACTCTTTTTGTGCAAAATTGTGAATGTTTTTTTCTTGGTCCAGGGCTTGCCTTCATTGGGATGGGGTCAGGGAGTTAGGGAGAAGGTGATAATGATGGATGATGAATGAATCAATCAACGGTGATGCAAGGTGCTTGATAATCCAGCATGGCAGTGTGGACAAGACTGAGACACTCTTGCGGCTCCTTCGCATAACGCAGCCAAGCACTCAGTCCTCAGTGGATACCTGAGCTGTCGAACCCGTGTCGAAGCACCCCAGAAGTGCAGAGAGGTGCCGTTTTGTTGGGGAGGAGCCTGAGGCCAACTAGAGTGCTTCAGAAGAAGTGGGTGAAAGGGCGAGCCGCTCGGCCAAGCGTTGGGGTTGAGAGAACTGATGTTTCGCTTCTTGGGAGTTTTCCAGATCTGTTCGGGCGAAGGTTCCTGTGTTCAGACACGTGCGCAGACTGTTTGGGGCCCATCTGCGGTGTTTGTGAGGTGTTCGTCCAACAGGCTCTCCAAACATTGTAACATGGGGTGAGAAGTTGTAAGCTCAGCCCCTGTCGAAGACTCTGAACAAGTCTGGAAACAATCGGTAGCGATACGTGCCATGGTTTTGTTGCCATGGGTCAACACAATGACAATACTGACACTGGAAGAGGCAGCCTGAAGTCCTGGAGTAGGTTTTCATCAGGTAAACCTGATAAAGGACAACTCAATTTCACATCATCAACCTATATGGAATAGTTATACATATCTTGACCATACATTTGACCCCGATCCAAATGACCCATCCGTGTGATGAGAAGTGTATCTTCCAGTCCGATATCGGATTGGCAAGCTAGCGTCCGAAACCGAAGCCTTACGAGGCTGAGTTGACCAGCCAAGGCAAGAATCGGGAGGGCAAGGTCGCGGTGAGGTGCAAGTTCTCGGAGCTTGCAGCTCTAGTTCCTAGTTTTTGATGTTTTCATCTACTTGCAGCTAGTTTCGTGCAAGTTGCTGTTGACCTTTGACAAAATGTTGCCACTTCACTTGTTGATTAATTGGTTAACAGTTAACGATGGTGGCATCGCCATGCACCTAAGTTGACAAACGTTTTGTTCATCTCCTGCATCCCTGCCCGCAGCACTACCGATACAAACGGCCAAGCTCACCTCCAAATGGAGGAGAGTGGGCCGATGGAGCCCAACGAACCGAAGGCGAAGCCTAAGGCCAGAAAGGCATCCAAAAAACGCAAAAGATCGAAGAAAGGGAAAGAGGAGAAGGAGAAGTGATGAGAAGTGTGTCACAAGCCATGGGGAACTCAAACGGTGTTAAGGATGAACATACAATGATCATAGCATTTTCCTGAACGTTAGTTTCATTCGCATGCAAAAACGTCATGGATCTTCAGACATCCTGCAATAGGGCCTGACTGCGGCTGTTTGTCTGTCCATCTTGGGGTCCCTGAGGACTTTGGCTTGACCTCGGTCATTGGGAATGGCGAGCAGCCCGATGAATCTGAGGGAAGCGAGGAGATCTTCTCCGAGACTGAGACCTCGCCAAGCCCTTTGCACATGAGCCCAGGCACCAGGCCTTGGGATCTCAAGGAGTTGTCGGGTGCTCCGTTTGGAAGTTGAATGCTGATAAGTCTCACCAAACCAACAACAGAAATGCAAGGATACTCCCTAATTTTATACACCATTTGCTGAAGCTACCTTGTGCTCGTTGTGATTCTGTGTACCTTGTTCACGCCAGGACTGTGAGCTTATGCCAAGCCTCGAGAGCCCTGAGACGGAGCCCGACATTGAGACTGAAGAGATCGGAGCGGTGCTGCTGGAAACACAGAGCGGTGCTGGTGCAGGTGGAGCGCAGCCGAAGGAGAAGTATCTCAACGGCTTGCGGACCTTGTTCAGAGAAGCGGAAGAGGGGGTCGTTCGGGACGATGAAGACCACGGAGGTGCCATTTTCCTGCCTGACGTTGTGAGTGTGGTCTTGTGTTAAGCTGGACCAATCGCTGTGAACACATAGAACCCCTGCGCATCCTCGCAACTACCATGTTGCTGAAGGGGTTATTAGATGTTATTATATAGTATAGTATAGACGTTTGCGAATTTGTGAGATTGTAAGGCTGGACAAATGTATCGTTGCCAAACCTGCAAAATTTAAGGAGAGATTCTGGAAGTTTGTTGGTCTACCGGTCTACCCCTTTACGGTTCTAGATTTTGCTGGTAGACGTAATGTTTTAGAAGGTGGACCAGATAAATATGGTGAGATGGAGGAAAGCACTGCGGAATGTAGATGGGGAGAGCTTGATTTGGACAGACGATGGACACGAAGACGGAGATCCAGTATGAACAATTCAGCGAAAACAAAGAAAAATACATGCCAAGCGATGGAAGCAACAATATAAAGCAATCACGCCTTGACAGCTAGTGGTGGGCAAATGGTGGAAAAGAGGCACTACGAAAATTGCCATGGGCGGGGCATGTTTTATTCTGTGCACCGACCACAGATTCTTCCGCCTAGTAGAAAGCAAGCTCAAAGGGCACAGTACACGAAGCGAATGCGCGGCGCACAGCATTAGGGCATAGGGCATAGGGCTAGGACCAGGTCCCGTTCACTGGGGACAAGTGCCCCCAGCGTGAAAGGGTAAACTGGGTCCACGCGATGTCACGCGATACCCCCTGGGGCACGCCTGACGGGGGTCGTCGTGACGCATTGAGAAGCTTCCAACAACGCCAGTGTTTGCAAAACAAGGTGACCGACATACGTGACTCTGGCAACATCAAGTTTAAGGTCCACACCACACTGAAGCAGTTAATTAACTTTACCCGTCGCCGGCATGCTGTTCTGTGAGTTGTTCCTTCATCATTCCCGGCCTGGGCACCAGTATCCGTTCTCCACATGGTAGCTGCCTCAGGCAGGCTTGCTCTGAAGTGACCAGCTCTTGCAGACTTGGACATTCTGTAGCAACTGCGAAACAAGCAAAAGTACTAGGGTGGCATTGCAAAGCCTGTTTCACCTCAAGATCCTTGCTCTTATCAATGTTAAGCAATGCCGCGAAGGGTGAAACTGTAGTTGCTCAAGGGTCCCTCTTGAAAATCGCGAGGTCCAGTTTCGACCACTTATCGGACTTGTGCATGCGACATTCTGTTTGATCGTCTGACCCGCTGTAGAAAGCCCAATCACCCTCCCTAACGGCCCCAGTGCAGGTGAGACAGCTGCAGAGCTCTTTATCAAAGGGGGCACCGAAAGGTTCAGGAGTTTGTCTAGCCGGGCTGAGACAGACGTGCGGAAGGCACTTTGCTGCATGTTCTACTTAAAGGTAGAGCTCACCTTGAGGAGGGCGTCGGAGTTCTTGATTTTCCTCTTGGCCGAAGCCCGCGTTCGCTTGGAGGAGGACCTAGAAGAGGGGGAACGTCTGGCTCGGATGCATGGTGAGGTACAGCAGACAGCCATCGTCCTGGTTGAGAAACTCCGGGCAAACGACCAGGAGATGCTTTGGAGCACACAAGCTGGTCTTGAGATTCTGATGCAATTCCAACTTGGCGATGCACGACTCTTCTTTGCCCGCCCTTCATTGCAGCAGATCATGCTCGATGTTTGGCAAGGTGTCCGCCCAGACTACTTTCAACGAAGCTGGTGCAAGCAGCTGCAGGTTTGGATGCGGCTTCTCTTGTATGGCTTCCCCAACTTAGTGATGGTCTTTCTGTGGGCAGTGGCGCCTGGAGTGGAGGACCACATTCGCGACACTGTGGCGTCCGATGCTGAAAAAGCTCGACGCGAGGAAGAACAAAAGTGGCATAACATCCTGCAAAGTCTGAAAGATAAGGACTGGCCTTATAAGATGGGAAAGAGAAAGAAGGTCTGTTGGGGTTCGGACGACTTTGAGGATGCTTTGCGTGAGGAATGCCGTGAACGAGTCTTCCTCATCCAATGTCGTGTACCACTCCTCATTTCACGCTATAGGAAATGCTTGGCCATTTTCTCTAACCTTGCATTCGCTGCTTATTTAATTGGAGAAAAGCCAAGCGAGGCCAATGTGCCGTTGGTGCTTATCCTAAGCGCTGGTGCGTGGCTAGGTGAGGTGGCGCAGCTTTTGAGCTTTGCGAATTCCAAAGCTGGAGCACAGAATTCTTTTGCCTTTTGGTTTATGGATCGAGTGAACGTGATGGAGTTGTTCGCCTTCACTTGCATCGGATGGAATTGCGTACTGGTTTTGATTCGGACTGAATGGGTTGAGTTTGCTCAGCAGTTCAAAGCCTTAGGGGTCCTCTTTCTGGGCATTTCCCAATGCATGGCCATTTTGCGCATGAGTTCCGTCTTTGGCCCCTTGGTGTCCATGACGATGAACATGATCGTAGACATGATCCAGTGGGTGACGCTGCTGGCCCCCATCATCGCATGTCTCGTAGCCGCTTTGATCACCCTCTTCAAGACCCGGGACAAGCATCTTGGAACGCACAACATGTTTAGATCAATGGCGGTTGGCAGGCACGGGCATGGATAGACACACACACACACATCATGGTAAGAAGCCTGGTGATAGTTTGTTTGTGCCGTTGCAGGGCAGTACTGAGACAATACTTTCCATCCAAAAACTGGTCCACAGACAGGCTGTAGAGTCTCCCTAAGGAGACTTGGCGATGCACTCAGTCTCATTCACTCAGTCAGAGTCTAAGGAGCTGCTTACCCTTCGAATTTGACTACCTTGAAGGACTGGCCCAGTTCTTTAACGTCCCGATCGGTGAGGAGATGCCCTTGGCCTGTGTCCGGGGTGACCAGTCCCCGGCACAGGTCACTGGGCCATTCATCATGAATATGGGCCTGTGGATGATTCTTGGAGTTGCATTTTGGGATATCCTTTCTTGATGGTGTGATGTAGGGGGACCGGGGACCACTCCTGGTTGGCCCTGGTTGGCCAATTTATTGGTTGGGGGGTCGCCTGAGAGCATCAGGATCATGATCCTCATGCTGAACATGCTCATCGCCATGATGGCGAAGACCTTTGATCGCATCTACGAATCTGCCATGGTGGACTTTCAGTACCACTTCATCGGGAATTTGCTGCAGATGGTCGACGAGCCGGCCGTACCGCCGATCCTGCGGACCTTGGGAGTGCCTTGGACGCTGTGCTCCACCTGCTGGCGGTGGATCTCCCAAAGGGGTCGTGAACTTCCTCAGAGTGGCAGGAGAGAGGGGACCCAACAAGCTGTTCTGTTGCGCAACTCGAGCTTTCATGCCATGCACCAAGAACAGCAGCAAAGAGATGCAGGTTTGAGAGAGGCAATGCTCAGAGTGGATGTGAATGGCAAACCTACAGATGAGGACCAGTGCATCGGCCTTCTCTACGAGAGCGTGACATCCTTCGTCTCAGAACACGCCTCGGACACACAGGTGCAAGATGACCTCTGGCGGAAACAGATAGCACGCAGACTTTTCCTAATGGATATCAAGCTGGAGACAAAAGTAGACACTCTGACAAAGGAACTGAGCAAGACAAAGGTAGACACCATGGAAAAGCTCGACAAATTGACAGCGCAAATGGACGCGTTGCTCAGAAGGGCGAGGCCAGCTCAGGCGAGGAGCTACTTGGAGTGGGACATCCCTCAAGCCAGATGACCCATGTCCATCCTCCACAGCACGTTTTTCAAAGGGCAGTCCTATTTATGTTACTGCGTCTAGCTATTTCAAGGTTTTTCCTTGCTGCAAGCACACACCTGGGTGCTTGTTGACCGTGCGAAGGCAAAGCCTTCAGCCGGACTTTCGCAGAAGCCAAGCTTGTCCCAAGGAATTTGTGCCTAGACATTTTGCAGACTTTGCAGGTTTTAGTGCAGTAACGTGTTGCGTAGGAAAGAGTAAGTAAACGGGTGAGGAGGTCTTGTAGGTCCAAGAGTCATTGCGGCCATTAATGGCCATTTTGGCTCAAGAGCCACCGGTGTCAAGCGACATGTACGAGTTCGAGATCCTCCTGCTTGTCGTGTACTTGCTTGGCTTGAGCTCTGGTGTGCTCCTCAGTTGGGCTCTTCATGGAGGGTCAGTGGTGCCTGCATTGTTCAGCCTTGTCCCATTGAACTGTCAGCAGTTTGTCAGTGGCGGTTGAGATGGTATGGCCGGCAGCGCCTTGCCTACTGCCAATTGGCCACGATAGGAGACTTGGCTGCTGCTGTGAACTTTGTCGGGCTGGCCCCCGCCCCCACTACCTGGCGCGCGGTGAATGGAGCGCCAGGTGCCTTTCCCAATCTTCGCCTGCTGAGTCAGGCTCCTCCAGATGGCATTGCCGATGCCATCGGGACGATGCGGCTGCCCAGGTTGGATGGTGCTGGCAATGGCTTATATAGATCCTCCAGAAGAACGGGATTTGACAATGTTTGCAAGCACTGAATGCAGCTGGACTACCTGCAACTGGTGCAAGCACGTTGCCCTTGCCGGTTGGTTCAAGTAGCGCAAGCCAAGCAATGGGCGTGCACCAGATCAAGGTTTCTCAGATTGCAGACCAGCTTGATGACACAGAGCTGGAAGTCATCTCAAAAGGAGAAGTGGATGAAGCATACAAGACATTCAGAGATGTCATGGGAGCAGGTCCGCCAAAGGAGGCTGAGCCCTCCATTGAGCAGCTGACGGTGATGATCAACAGGGTAGTGACCCGTGGCGCTGCTCCATACCTAGATTTCAGCGTGTTGACTCCTTACGCCAGAAGATCGCAAAAACGCATGAAAGCCAAAGGGTTCTTCTTGCAAGAGGACGGCAGCTGGAAACTAAAGTGAAGTGTAAGGGCCGTTGAGCTTCGAGGCGGGGTCATCGTGCTGGGATGTGTACAGGACGTTGTTGCAGATGCTTCGCCATGAGGCCATGGGACCTGGGTTGGATAGAAAGGCGGTGATCACAGTGGCCGCTACAAACCTCAACAGACAGTATCCAGAGTGTTGGCACTTGATCATGCAGGCTGAGGACAGATGCAGGAGCGACCATCTATAGAGGACAGAAGAAATCTGACTCGGGCTGCAGCTGAGGGTCGGCTTCCCGTGAACTTATCGTTTGCGGTTGACCAACCATGGATCGGTGTTTTCATTTTCGTTGCCAGGGATCAAAAATACTGGAGCCAGGAGGTGCAGATCCCAGCCCAGAACTTCATTGCTCGTGGCGGAGGTGGAAAGAAGATGAACAGGACCGATGCAGAGGCAAGTGGCATCTCAGACACAGCTAAGGAAGCATTGGGTGGAAGATTGGCAGGACCAGACAGACCTCATGGAGAAGGTGAACCTTAAAGGCTGCAAAGAAACGCAGGCGTGAAAAGGGAGAAAGCAACGGCAGATGCAAGACGTTCAGGCATGGCATCAAACTCACAATGAATCGTCCAGTTGGCGAGGTCCTGGCAAAGCCTCAGAGAAAGGAAAGACGCAGCGCCCTCGCAAATATGGACTTACGGACAGTTCTTTTTGACAGACCGTGACCGTGATGGGAATCAGGTTTGCTACAAGTTTGCAAAGGGACAGCCAGGGGCTGAACCGTGCGCAGACCAGCGTGCTCATGTCTGTCAAGTGTGCCTTGGCCAACACCCCAATGTCCAGTGCCAGAAAGAAGAAGGGCCGGCGGCCAGAGGAAAGGGGATGGCAAAGGCAAGTGAGACGAAGAAGAGGAAATGCATGTGCAAGAACACTGGGAAGAGCGCTGGGGTGACGCTATAGTGCTTCCGCCTGAGGATTCTTCTTGGCGCGTCGAATTTGCTGATGTTTCAACTAATTCAACAAATTAAAAAACAAGATTTCAAGAAAGTTTGTCTTTGCAGAGTTCTTCGTTGGAATGGGAGGCTTCTCGGAGGCAACGAAGTTGGCGGGCATGAACTTAGTAGAAGTTCGTGCTACCTTGGATGGATACGCCAGGAATGGAATATTCTGGCGGAGGAGGACTACGAGATGGCCAAACAGCTGTGCGAAGGAGAAATTGACCATGGGCATTTTGCTCCAGCCTGCCGTGCAATGTCGATGGCAAGGAGAAGTGGTCAGTTTGGGACGGTGAGAGCGCTTAGAGATGCAAATAGACCAGAGGGCTATGGTCACAAGGATGCAGAGGAGTCAAATGAGATGGTGGAGAGAATGGTGCTTCTGTGCATGATGTTGAGCAGGCGCGGTGCCACGTTTAGAATTGAACATCCAGGAATGTCCTTCTTGTGGCTTCTTCAGTCAATGCAGAAACGCATGAAGATGAAGAATGCAGCATGGCAGAGATCAAGCGCAAGAAGCTGCAAGGGACCCTCGAACAGCTGCTTGCGTACAAAGGCATGATGCCACTTCGACTGTTACAACAGGCAATTGGAGTGCTAGGGTGGGCTTCGAGCATTCTGATGGCAGCCAGACCATGGTTGTCGACGTTGTGTGCTGCAGCCACTCAACACCAACGTGTGGAACCCATCAGACGAAGAGCCAGGGAGAGAGAGAGAGAGAGAGAGAAAAGGTCTCTTGTATTCGTAAGGCAAGTGGAAAATGCACTCAGATCGCTTCATGCGTTGGTGCAAGAAATCGATGCACTACGCCCAGGCCTCAGCAGAACTTTCAAATGGCGACCAGACGCCCCAAAGATCCCAAAGATTTTGATACAGACAGATGTGCGCCCCACTGGCATAGGAGGGTTCTTGATGATAGGAAGCCGATTCGTGCCCTATTCTCAGCAGCCACGTGCTCTGTTTGGAGCAGCAAAAGCTGAAGTAGTTCAGCCAAAATGGAGATTTCAGTGGCCAACTGGCTGAGTATAGGTGATTTTGTTCTAAACTCGGCCGTGGCCCGTAGAGCCGCCATGTTGTCTGGCGTGCATTTCGGTCAACCATGGTGAAAAATGCTTCTAGTGACAGCCAGATGGTCAGCAACTCCCATTCGTTCTGAAATGATGGGTCGCCAGCGTCTGACTGCATTGGACTCGCAAATGACATAGCTGATCGGTTGAGCCGTCTCAATTCCACGGACCAGCAGGTACCAAAACAGCTCCTTCACGCCAAGCGGTTCCCGCGCATTGCCGCCGAAGCAAAACTTTGTTTCGCGCGTGGCCGCGAAAAGATCAATATGTCACTGTGTCGCAGTGCTGTTTGCGCTTTCACATGACAGCGCAAGCATTGAGCGGCATTGTAGGATATAGTGAAATTGCGTTGAGTCATTTGACGCTGTAGGCTTCGCAGGCGGCCATCGCAGCGGGGCCCTCAGTCGCGCTGCAACGATAACGTTAGTGTGGAGGGTTGTGGGCAGTGCCTCCTAGACGTCGCCAGAACAGTGACATCAATAGAGGTTGCGCTAGAAAAGTGTAAGTTGCTGACCATCCTTCAAACTGATGTTGTTTGTTGAGCGTGGCACAGAGAGGGAAAAGCAGAAGCTTAGAAGAGGAAAGCAGTGTTTGTTTCCTGCGGCTCTTTGAGTAAATTGGTTTAAACCGTCATGAAATAGTTTGTTTAATAACTGGCAGGCCTGGCCCAAAGGTTCAAAGGTCAGGGGGGACCGCGGTTGTGCCTTTTACATATGATGGATTTCTGGCGGAGGAAATCCCTCCAGCAGTGAAGGCGGCCAGACTCGCCTTAGTATGGAAAAGCAGCACGGCGACGATCCAAGAGAAGAAGGCGCCTCCAACGCCTGGTCCAGTACCAGGCACACAAAGTTTTGAGATAGGGCCACGGCAACCAGATAAAAGTGCGAAGAGGCCTGCGAGGGGTCAGCTGACCTTGCATTGCAGAAAGCTGGGGATGAGGCAGAGAGATGTCTGGCAGTCAAACAATTTGGCGAACAAGTCGCATGGACGACGCAAAGTCGTTCGTTTTACAAGGAGAAGATGATCTCACACGCAGAGAAGTTCGGAGTCCTCATCTCTAAGATGGTGAGTCACGGGACACTTTGCCAGAAGGTCAGGGGTAAAGGACCTAGCGAGGCAAGGGATTCCGCTGACGGCCATACAATGGATGGCCCGACACTCCTCAAACGTCACATTGCAGTATGTGGAAGATGCTTGGTCGGAAGCGATGTCAACATTGTGTGAAATGGCAAGCTCTACATTGGCGCGTGTGACACAACTTGAGAAAGCGATCGAAAACACAGAGAAATGGAGGAGCCAGCAGCTAGAGAAACTATGTCAAACATCCTGGGGAAAAGAAGAACTGTGGCAGGAAATTCAAAGTGCTTTGATTCCTGTGGCAATAACTAGCCACCAATCTGGAAAGAGCCACAGAGTATCTAAGAGCAGTTGCGTCGGAAATGATGCACGCTTGTGGACAACTGTCTGCGGATGGCCTTCGCTGGAATCAGCCAGGTTTTGCGCACAAATGTTTGAAATGGAAAATGCTCCATGACCTGGAAACAGCATGGAAGATGCTGCGTCCCTTTTGGCCTTCTTGGAAGGACAAGGCGCGCCGCCCTTCTTGTGAAAAAAGAGTGCTCTGTAGAATGTTTGTGTGGTTGGAGGGGAACTGAAGTGAACACGTCTCTTTGTGCAGCAACGTGTTGCGTAGAAAAGAGTATGTGAACGAAAGGTGAGGAGGTCTTGTAGGTCCAAGAGTCATTGTGGCCATCAATTGCCAGTTTGGCTCAAGAGCCACCGGTGTCAAGCCCCTGCGTCCCTTTTGGCCTTGGACAGATGGGTGGTTGGAGGGGAACTGAAGTGAACACGTCTCTTTAGGTTTAAAAGACAGCTGTGACGCCTGCAAGGTGTCTCCACACAATTCCTGAGTTTGGCCGACTTGACCTCATGAAAGCGATGCAAACGGATAAGAAAAGTACGGCTGGAGAGAGGGTCATTGACAGGATGGACTTGCCAGTAGGCATATTCATGATACGCAGAGTGATCTTTTGTTTCCTTCTAGTCATGGACAGGACGCCGTTTTTGCCGGTGTTGCTGTTGCTATAGGAGGCCAGTGGAAAGGAGAGGGAAGATCCTTATGTGCCTTGGTAGTTTTTGCAGAATATTTTCGCTCTGTGTGCAAAAGTGTTCATGTTTGCTTGGTCCAGGGCTTACCTGCATTGGTGTAGAGTTAGGAAGTTAGGGAGAAGGGGATGATGATGGATGATGAATGAACCGACCAAACAACCCACGGTGATGGAAGGTGCTTGGTCAGGGGAATCCGGTGTGGCAGTGTGGATATGATTGAAGCACTTTTTGCGGTTCCTTTGCATAAATTCTGACTATCCAAGCCTCAACGCTTCCTTCCGTCAGAATGCGTAGTATACCTGTGATTCACCAGTGGTTCGCTTGGTGGAACGCGATCAAATCCCCCCATCAACACAGCCACTCAGTCCTCAGTGGATACCTGAGGTGTCGAATCCGTGCCGAAGCACCAAAGAAGCACGCTGAGGTGCCGTTTCTTTGCCTGAGGCCAACAGGTGCTTCAGAAGAAAAGGGGTGAACCTGGGCCAATTTCAGGGCCACCGCACTGACCACTGGGGGTGAGAGAACTGATGTTTCGCCTCTTTGGAGCCTGGACTTGTTCGGGCGAAGGTTCCTGTGTTCAGACACGTGCGGAGACTGTTTGGGGCCCATCTGGGCTTCGGTTCGTCCAACACGCTCGAGAAGTTGTACAAGTTCACCCCCTGCCGAACACTCTGGACAAGTCTGGAGACAAATCGGTAATTACCGGTGGCGATACATACTATGGTTTACCATGGTTGTGTTGCCATGGGTCAACACAATGATAATACTGACACTGGAAGAGGCAGCCTGGAGTCCTGGGGGGGCCAAGAGCACTGCAGTTGTGAGTTGGCGTTTTGGTATGTTGTTCATATCTCCATCTTCAAGAAAATTCGACACCGAAAAAGAGCAGAGACTTTCAAGCCGAGTCTGAGGTTTGTAACTAGAACTAGACTAATTTGATCCAACATGCGTTTGCCAAGCAGACTGGTCAGACTCGTCAGACGGCACCGCCCCACCGCTGGCTCCGAGCGGGTGTCCTTCAATCAGATGCGGCTCCAATCGAAAGGGCAAGAAGCAAGACACGACTCATCCAGATCATTCAGCATTCGCAGGCCAGCATGAAGTCTTTCGCAGAGTTTGGACATCGAATGACATCGACACTCCAGGTGTTTTGCATTGTTTTTGCCATCTGGAGCTTGTACCAATGATACAACCTTGATGGAGTGCCTTTGGATCAGCCAGGAAGCAGCTTGTAGGAAGCACAGCAGAGGGACAGGCTGCAATGTCTGGCCTGCGCGTGCCTTTGCTTGTTGCATCCTTTTTGCTGTCCCGGCCTCGGACAAACCCGGCTCTGCATGTTTGACCCTGCAGAAGCCTATACCTGTGGTCCCAGATACGTTTTTGCTAGCGGCTACCAGTCATGATGGTCCTTCTGCACAGGGTCCCCCTCTTCTGGGGGGTTGGACTTCAAACTCCTGTCTCCTCATCCTTTGTGAGCAAGGTCCAGCAGCTGCGAGTTGGAGGCAGCGAGTTCGGAAGGAACCTGCCGGACGACTGGTGAAAAAGAACAAACACGCGTCCTATCACCTCACTATTTGGGGACTGCTAACTGCTGTCGAGGCTATACCTGTATACATGTTGCACGATCCAAAATGTAATTACAGAGATTTCCACCTGATCCAGGCCTGTGATGACTCAGATTTCTCATTGAGGCAACTGCGTGCAAGGCAGGTGGGAAGAGGATTGAGGTGATCCTCCAACTGGAACTGCGAACGCCCCACATTGTCGCTCTACCACTGGAAGGGTGAATACAATGATAAATAACAATGATCAATAACAATGATCATATTGAAAAAGCACCCTGGCTTGATGGAGATGTGGATCTTCAGTGACTGAAACAAGGGACGGTCGATTGTTCGACCAGAGCGACCATCCTCCTCACGACCTCCTCACGATCAACAAGTCAAAAAGGATTCCGAGGAGATATGACTTGGCTCCAAGGACTTGTTGCAGTGATGCCCAAGAAAGGACCCGACCCGAAGTACCCCCTACTACCCATCTTAGAGGGCTACAGCTTAGGAGGGTTGACACTTAATGCACAACAGAAAACACTGCCGTTTTGCTGTGATTCAAGTTTCTTGTAAAATTTGTTAGCAATTGAACCTGTCCAAAAAACTGAAGAACCCGTGGTCAAGAAAAGCTGTTGTTCTTCAACGCTCGCTTGAACCCGTGGCAGCAACGATTCGAGCTTGTTGGTTGATGTTCTGACTCTGAAACGAAACGCGTGCGAGGCAGTTCACGAATGTCAGCTCGGAGGTGACACAGACATGCGAAACATGGCGACCGGGTGATGGGGAGCTGTCCTGGTTCAACAGGGAGCCGCCTCTGTGCTTTGGGGCGTGACAAGCATGGTTTCCCTTTATTTCTAATGCTTGTTCTGTTAATATTTGGATACTTGATGCAGGGTTTCTTTGGTATAAAGGGCCAGCCGGGTTTGCAAATCCTAGTTGCAGGTTGGTTCGTTTGTTTCATCACGGTTCATCGCAAGATATCACAAGCAGATTGACAAAACAGCCAAGAACAAAGCACATTTGCTTGAAATGTCTATTGAATCTATTGTGCAATAACATTGTGCACAGGGATGCTCTTCTTGGAGCATTTTGTAAACCATTTCCTGCCAGTTGCGCACAGCGCAGGGCTGTGGTGGATTAGATGACCCACGCAACGCAGACTGCGCTGATGCGGTGCAATGGGCCTATGAGAAAGGCATCAAGACGCATCCAGGCGCCACGGAAGCTCAGCTTTCCATGCGCTACTTGCTCCTAGTAGCGATGCCAGGAGCCCCTAGTAGCTTCTTGTTACTGGCCGAAAAGAATGGAGATGAAAACCATGTGAATGACTGGGCATCCAAGATTGGCCTTTCCTGCCCACAGCCAGTTGCGATTCTGGTTTCATGCCAAAGCTCACCTGTTATAACACCGGATTGCCTTGTTGTGGAATCTAGATACAGGACTGACAGTTTAGAATACAACAAGTCGACATTCTAACATACTGTATTAAAGACAATTTATTTATGATTCTCCTCTTAACCAATGTCCCACATCTTCAAATCTACTAATGGGGATGATCCTTAGCAGATCGAGCAGATAGCATATGGGAAGTTCAGAATTTAGGGAGATATATTAGAACTGTCGGAAGATCACTGCCGTTCCATGCTGAGACAAAGGACGAGAGATCGTTGACAATTGCAGTATATATCAATTTCTTGCATCAATATACTGTATTCTAACTGCCTGTGGGTGCCGGGTTTGTACAGCCATATTGGCATATATTGGCCACATTCTAATTGCGTCTTCCACAACGAAAATATTTATATAACTGCTCGTCCGCCATGGCAAACACTCGTTTCCCATCGTTTCCGCAAGGATATTTTCTTGCTGTGTGAAGATCACATCCGCCAATCGCCAAGTCGAACGCCAATGTCCCCTTTGTCAGGTTGGTACTTCATTCCATTAGGCAAGATCAGCCAAATTGGCCCCGCAGATGCCAAACTCAATGATTTACAGCACCCTGGCGGATTCAGAAGCTGAATCATACATGCATGATCAAGTCCAGTCTCTTATGATCTATAATGGTCAATGTTACTTACTAATCGATCACCCTGTGTCATTGTTTGCCATTCTTGAACGGTCGGTGCAGAAACCGCCGAACGTTGGGAGTTTCGGTGCAGAAACCGAAAGACGACCTGAGGCGTATTTTCTTTTGTGGTCGCGCTGGCCAAAGTGCCCCAAGGCTAGTCGAAACGGGTGGAAGGTGGGCGTGATTGGTCGAATTACAGGCCATGGTTTTGGACCCCTCCATGGTTTTAGTTTGAGTCTTTTGAGATCGTTTTGGATGATTTCGTGAATTTAGTGGCATTGGCTTCATTGTGCTTCAATTTATCATTCCAGTGGTTCAGTTGATGCAGCCACTATTGAACAGCACCACTTTGAGCTTATTTTGACCATTGCACGCGACTGTTTGCTCCTTTTTCGAGGTGCGGCCTGCCTCCCTGCGGATGCAGCCGACCACCCTGTCACATGTGTGAGGCACCAGAGGTGGCACCAAAGCTCTCGAAGGCCACTGACGAATGCCAGCCAGCGGATGGCGCCCGCGTGCAATGTGGCATTTGTACGATCCGAAATAGGATAGTCTCGTCCCTGGTGGGGATTTCTTTTCCTCCCTACATGTTCCATGCCAGTGCCCGTGATCGATGGCAATGTTTTGTTTTTCCTTGGTGGACTGGATGATACTTGATGATCAGTATATTTCATGTTGGTGACTCGATCGGTTTTGCCTCTTGAGTTTGTCCTAGTCCTAGCCTAGATATGTTTCATTTAGTCTTTCATATGTATACAGAGTTATAGTCCGTATATTTATGTAAAACAAAATCAATGATTCTGTTTCTTTGTGTGCTTTGTATTATTCAAAATTATGTGTGTTTGGCCGGTTCTGCCAGGTAAACAGAGGTGCTTTTCATCAAGACATGTCTCCAACAACTCCTGGCACACCTGAAGAGCCAAACGTGGCACACCTGAAGAGCTCCCTCCTGGTCACCACCTCGTTGGATTTCACGTGGAACCGCTTCTCCTCACACCGGAGCACGACACGGTCGGAGCGGCACGACGTCACGAAGCGATCGCCAGGCCTTCAACCTCATCAAGCGCTTTGACTTCACAGGCCTGATCTGTAGAGGTCGGTGGATCTCGGTGGCCTGGTGATTTTCCATGCTTTTGTTTACTACTCCGCAGGTGATCCCAAGCGCGAGTTCGACATCGTGCAGCCACTTGGATTGAACAGCGACTGGTGGTACTGCCTGCACGCTCGGCGGTGTTTGGATCCTTTCGCACTTGTCACCATGTTTGAACGTCTAGGTACTGTATGTTGGTCCAGATTGAGGCCCAATCCATCGCAGATATTCCACTGATGTTCTGTAGGTTTTTCACAAGGTGATCCGACAAATCCGGATTACTTTGGGTAAAGAATCTTTGTTTTTTAATGCTTTGCTGAGCTTCCTGTTTCTTTGGTGTTGTGCGGTCCTCCATGCTAGTCCTCCCATTGTTTGTGGAGTGAGGCAGGGGGGTGAGCAACAGAGGCCTCAGGATATTTTGTTTTCCTTCGACCAATCATCCGCTGGCCTGACTTGCCTCAGAGCCTGACATCGTGAGGCTTCCGGACCAGAACATGACCCATTCGTGCTCCAATTATGTGGATGATGGACAGACGGTCTTCACAAGCAATGGCCGGTTGGTCCTGAAAGTGGCTTCTGCATGTCCAGATGGCAGCTGTTTGAACTCAGGCTCAGGGTTCGTACTATTTGCCGTGAAGCTCACCTCCAGTCAGAAACGCAGTTGGGCAATCCATGTCCGGACAAAATGGAACAATATGGTTTGCGAAGTGTTTTTGCCCAACGTCACGATTCCATTGACACTGCTCAACCAACTCTTCCCTGACAGGTAGAGTGATGAGCAGGGATGCCTTCACCTATGGTCGCATGGACTTGGAACCATTGCCGACTGGTTGCCGACTGTTGGAATGTTTTGCTCTAACACCACTGCAGCCCTCAAAGCAGGCAGAAGACTTTTTGGGGATGTATATTTACTGTGAATTCTAGAAGACACATGTGGAATCAAGAAGAACCCGGTGGACTCCAAAATGTGGTTTTTTTGGGGGTCAACTGGTCCACCCGGTTGTCCAGCATTGACAGGGAGTTCCCTCCCGGTTGTCCTCCCGGGATCTGCCTCGGCACCGCCCAGGTGTCTTCACCTTCTCGGCCAAGGTGCCCAAGTGCAACGCTGTTTGGCCCGCTCTGTGCCTGCGGGTGAAGGACCGGTGTGGAAGACGTGGATGATTTAAGCGATCCAACAGAGAAACAAGTGGAATAAACCAGACCTGAAGGCCATTCGGCATTTGGGGACTCATTCGCTTTGGGAGATTTTTGTATGACCCACGGAGCATGGCAGAGTTTTTGGGTCTATCGTCACATACCTTCACAGAATAAAGGATTGGCGTGTAGAATGTCTTTTACACCCCCGGCTGCATGCATTGTCGGCGAGTTTTGGCATCTTGGTTTCATCAAACTTTCACCAGATACTGCCAGATACTGTATTATGGCGGCCGAGGAAACACAAGACACACTGGCAGAGTTTGGTCAGAGTCTGGTCAAGGTGGACGACACGTTAAGGTGGACGGTCCAAAGGTGCCGTTCAACTGCGCCACTTCCTGAGGTGGTTTCTGCCGCAGAGCTCCAAGGGCGATGGGAAACTCGCCGTGGAGAACAAGCGTGGAGCATAGATAGATACTGTAGATAGATAGAGTGATAGATAGATAGCTAGGTAGATAGATAGATAGGCAGGTAGGTAGGTAGATAGATAGATATATATATAATTATGTATTTACTTAGTCCTAAAGAGAGACAGAGAGTGAGAGGGAGATAACATGATAAAACCCAGTGACATTGAGAGACAGATGGCCACAAACGGGATGAAATGATCGGGTTCTCCAAAGCCCGAAAGGCATCTTTCTTTGATCTCCCATGATCTCCCAAACCTCATCGATTTGAGGTTCCGATCCCTCGATAGTATTGGATAGAGCACTGGGAGTTGATTTTTAATTTCTTTGCAAGTGCTTCTGTTTTTGCGATGGAGCTTGGATCACTGGTTTTGCTTCAGGAAATATGGACCATGGCCCTGCAGCGGCGAGATCGATTTGCTGGAGACGGGAGCAGAATGCAAAGTTCTGCTGTGAGTCAAGACACATGTCCCATAGATAGCTTCATGTTGTTTCATGATGGGCCGTTCTTTTAACCGTTTTGCGATGGCGGCTGATTGATGTGACATGTCCAAAGGACTTCATGAGTCGCGGCTCATGTGTGGATTCCGTGCAGGAGACCGTGAACGATGACTCCCATGGAGCCTTCAATCTCGTTGACGCCCTGGTTGGAGGGGGAGATGCCGCTGTAAGAAGCGATGCGACACCGGCGCACGTGTAGGACGATGCAAGAGTGATGCGACCCCTTTGGTCGACATGTCTTATGCTCCTTCTATTCACCCTATGACCCTATGATACCCTATGTCTATGCCTTTTCAATGCTCGCTTGAGTGCTTCTCTTTGCATGGCCTCTAGGTTTTTCGTTCTGGTTTTCCGCCCTTGAGATAGTTTGCGCTTTTCGACTCTTCTTATACTCTATTAATATCTATTAATATACTCTGTCGCCATCTTGGCCAGGTCCTACCAAGCTGCTCGTATCTTGCGCCTCAAAAAGACTCCCAAACGTCGAGCCGTGACCCCTGGCTGGCTGGCTGGCTTGGACGGACGCTTCCCAGGTGGCTGGCTTCGGCGCGGCTGCGGGGCGGTGCTATGACCCCGCGGCGGTGAGCTGCAACGCTTGTGCTCCACCAAGCTATTGCAGCCTGGGAAAAGTTGGAGAGTTGTGGAGTCAGATTCTGACTGGTCAGAATGTTCAGATTGCGATTGTCTTTGGATGGGCTGATGGATGCTGATGGATCAGTAGATATCAGTAGACTCCCAACAGCTCCAAACGATTGTACTTGATGGTACGAATGAGCTGCCAGTCAACAGATTGAGCCAAGCCCTGTGGCTCAACGATGGCGCAGCACGGACCCCATACGCTTTAGCGTCAGTCACCAGCCCTTGCGAGCACGCAGAATGCACATGTGAACACTTGACACCCCAAAGCCAACTTCTGGGACGGAATTCATGAGGCGATGAAGGTTGACACAAGCAACCGGTATAGAATTCTATTAGCCCCAGGCTGTGGCCACAAACTCAATTATACCAAAGCTTACTGAACTGAATCACAGCCAGCAAGAGAGCAACTCATGCGAAGATGCAAGGCACTTCGACGACCTTGGCAGACGCTGAAGCCTCCCACGTGCTGGTGGAAGACACTCGGACTGGTTGGAAGTGGTTGTGGGGTTGGGAGCGGAAGCAGATAGGTGGGGCTGCTGTGCAAGTAAGGTTTTCATTGGGATTCAGACTCTCGGTGTTGCTTGCTGATTCTCAAAAGTTCAGTTTGAAGACAGAAGACACTGGACTGGATATCGGCAATTTCTTTGAGGATGTGGACTGCGCTGCTGGCCAGAATTCTTGGAAGGAGCTTCCTGGCATCTATATATTCTACTAATTAAAAACAGTACATGCCACCGGCCGGCTCTAGTGAACCCAAGCCACACCCAAGTGGCTGGGAGATGTAAACTTCCCACGATGAGACAACCACCAGTCCCAGCAGATAAACCCTTGTCACCAAAAAGAAATGAACCATAATGAACCGCTTTATGCAACATCATGCAACATTTGTTCTCCCGACATGTCGGCCTTTGGCTTTATTGAGACGTGCCTCGCAGGAGCATTTGTTCGTGCTGGTTTGGCAGCCGCATGAGATCTCTGCCTTCCTGGATCCCAAGTTGTCCTTCAACTCGCAAGGTCAACTGGTCGCTATCCAGGCGCGACGATGACCTAAGGCCCGACGTCCAAGCATGTCATCCCCCGTTTGGATGATGTGCTCGGACTGGGCGACCTGAAGTCCAACTACAACTCAAGCGAATTCAGTGGAAAGAAAGGTAAGGTAAACATTAAACATTGACTTTGCAGTGCACGTCGACCACCAGGAGAAGATCCGGCCAGGTGCCCCAACCTTCAAGACCTACCAGCGGGACACGACGCCAACGTGGAGTGCTGTGCAGGACTGAGAGTGAATGGGGACCCTGCAAAAAATACTGGCAAACCAGATGAAAGAAGGATTTGCAGTATATACAGTATACTTATTCAAACCTGGAAACACCAAACTGTGTGTTATGTTTCTTTGCGGGGGTTGTTTAACATGGTTGTTTCTGGAGGCTCTAGATGGCCAGACTTGATTGCAACTCCAACTGCCAGCACGAAAGGCTCTTTCAGCACGTCACAAACTGGGCACGTGCGAATGTTTCATCACCTTTCATCGTTCGTCCCAGTCCTCGACTGGGGAAGTCCTGTCCTCGTGGTGTCCTAAGAAGGTCCTTGGGTCGCAGGACTACATGCAGAAGTGCTTTCCTGGCCCCCATTCTCCCGATGCACCCTTCGACATTCCAATGACCCTCGGGCGGTGAAACCCATGCTTCACTCCGAGTTCGCAGGGCCGTTGGTGGTTGACGTGACCTCCAAGGGAAAGTAGACAGAGAAAGACAGAGAAGGACAGCGGGAGAGTTTGACACGAAAAGCTTTTTTTGCCGAGGAAGATTGTGCTGAATATTGCTGTTGGTGGATACGGTGGAGCACCTTGCTACTGGGGAGAGAAGACCTGTGCGAGTAGCTGTGGTGGAGCGGTAGGTTCTGAGCTGATCCTCTCGGACATTAGCGTTTGGCAGTGAACACCGATGTCTTCGGTGTCCAATAGCTGCATCTTAGTCTCAGCTCAGCTTCATAGCTCCGATTTGTCCGGTTTCATCAAACATGTAGAATGTAGATTTGTATAGATTTGTAGGACCGTGTAGGACCTGAACTAACATGATTGAGTGCTTTTCTGAACAGAGAAGCACAAAGAAAAGATGCGCAGCGCTTTTTGTGCGGCTGCGGCGTAATGCTGCTCAAGCAGAATTTGCTCATTCTGTGCTAGCAACTTTCAAGAACAATGGTCTCAAGGAGGGAGGGAGGAAGATAACTAGCTCAGGGCGGCCGAACATGGGATCAGATAGATACTTTAAGGCTCCTGCAGCCTGTCCCACCCTGGCAGAGGCTTACCAGTGAAGTCGTGGGATGGTTTGTTCATGGGGACAAGGGAAGAGGCGCTTGTTGACCGGCAGACTTATCAAGAAAATCCCTGTAAAGGGACAACCGACTCCACATCCGAAGCGTGTGGGCTCCAAAGAGGCGCAAGTTCGTTCAAAGGGTCATGCAGCAGGTACTGGAGATAGATAGAGAATGTAAGAAGCATTGAGAAGCAACCACGACCAGATTGCGCTGGTAAAGCATGGTCAAGCGATATTCGGTCACCCTCAAATATGCGCTTCATTGCTTTTTCTTGAGTTGTCCTATTGACCTGCAATGATCGTTCTAAGAGTTCTTTGGAAAAGGATGGAAAGAATTGGTTTCCTTCGCATGATGTCACAGACAGTCTTTTGATGTTTGCTTTGAGAGCTCCACTGGTCGAGCCACCTCATTTGGAACCACCTTAATAGGTGAAACCACTATGAAAACAGATGTCTTGTTTGGAGTGTCCTGTTGCAAAATCCCCACATAATCTGAATTCAATTACAATAGTTCGGTCCTGGCTGGCCTGCGTACAAATACACCTGGCAAATGTCTCACTCCTTACTGGACCCTTAAATGGGACGATGCATAAGTATAACTTATCTCCTCATAATGGGACGATACCACTCTTAAGTAGGCAAATGGCCCTGTCGAACCTCAAAGCTTGGCCACGCAGAAAAGAACAGAAAAGTAAACAGCACACACGAGCAGAAAGGTAAACATCACACACGGTATTCTTTTTGCTTCCGGTGCGCCTGTTTTGTGTTCAACGCAGAACACGTTTTGGCTTGGGGAGGTGGCCCCAGTCCTGCCCTTCGTGACCAAACTCGCTCAGCTTCCAATCCATCGAGTGGAATGGAAGTGGAAGTGGAGCTGAATGGTTTGGCTGGTGAGCTTTGCTGCATCATGGCACCCATCAGCAGCAGCCTAGCGGACCTCAAGCTTTTGTGGCAGGCCATTTGTGTAGTCTTTTGATATTTGCATTCCCACATTCTTCTCCTTCCAGGGGAAGATCAAAGTCCGGAGCCCAGATCACAATTTTGACACCTTGATCCAACACGCAGAGAAGCACAGACAAGAAGAGAGAGAGAGAGGTGCACTTCCAAAAATCTGGAAGTGAAGTACAGTCATTGCTCAGCAAGCCTACTGTGGAAAAGCAAAATGCAAATACTCGTCAGTCGTCAGTCCACCAAATGTGAGCACGAGGATTTTCCCGAACCCATCAGCACATGGACACCAGAAGACTGCACACACTCTCAACAAAAGTGGCCGCGTCCATGGTGTATGGATCTGGTATCTCGGATCACCGGATGACCATGCCCGTTGGCCGCCCATAGGTGCAGATGATCCTGGCCTAGCGTGGACCGAACTAACGGTTAGTTTCACAATGACCACAGGTATCCCATTACCAATTAGACTGCCGCATGGCGGAGGAACGGCGGACGCCATTGACCCGTTAGATCCCCGTATTCAAGTGCTCCCAAAGAATAAAGAACCTTAGCGATTGCAATCGGACACATTTTGTACCAATTTTAGGCAATTTAGATCATTTGGGAGCAGTCGCAAGAATTAAAACACATGTTCATCATACCCTGTTATAAGAAGCGAGGATGCAGTTTAGACGGCTAGGATTCAAAAGGCAAGTTTGTGCGGCAGACCATTTTGACCAGTCATTCCAATGGCAAGAGAAACAACCCAAGCCTTGTTGAAAGAGCAACTTGATACTAACCAAAATTTACCGTATCACAATGGTTTGCCAACGGCACTGCCAATGGCATATGATCTCACACCAACACAGTTAAAGATTCCAGAACAGAACAAACTAAAATTCATTTTCAGACACCCTGCCAGCTCAAATGGAAAGTTTGACCACTTTGGATGCGAAACGCAAAAGACACCTTTTGCATCAGTCCGTGATCCTTTTCCGAACTATCACATGATGGCTTACCCATCATGATGTGCCAGTCTTGTCCTAGTTCTTGTCCTGTTGTCTCCTACCTCGTTTCTTGCATTGTGGCCTGGGAGTGTTCATTCAACTGCTCTGACCTGTCCCAGTAAATTGATGCCCGGTTCTATGTACTGGGTGCTCGGGTTAACTTATCTCGAATGGCATGAACTTGTGCCAGATGAGGTGTGCCCTTGGGGGAAAGCTTGATTTGGCTACCTTTTTGTATGTATGTTGTTGATGATCGCAGGTTGAGAATTCGACCAAACCGCAAGGGCACACTATTGATTCTGTCTCAAGTTTTTGTACTCCCAAGTGCGTCGTTGCGATTTCATGTTTTTGGCTTCACTACATTGTGGCTATAGGGATTTTTCAACAGTCGTTGCGAAACGGTGTCCCCAAACAGTTTTGTGTCTAGGAGTGTAGACGATCAGCAGCCATGGGGATTGGATCACGGCAGCCCACAGAAAACCTTAGAAAACATCAACATGTAGAAGATTTGAATCGCAATGGAGTAGTGTAGGTTTAGAAACAATCTGGGAGAAAAAGTGCTTGTTTCGAAGCGGTGTGCCATTGTGTTTTCCAAATGGGGTAAGTTCTTACATTCGTGGGGCAAGCGGTGTGCCACAAGTTCATGTGCGATGGGGTAAGTTACCACGTCGGGTCCTACGACCATTGTGACAACCATCGCCATTCACCCCATGTAGGGGTGCATGTGGTGGGAACCTGCTTTGAAGACCCCCCCAGCTTGACAGCCCGGCAAGGTCCCAGTGGACGAGCAAAGGCGGCTGGAGGGATGCTAAGTGTTCCGTGCAAATTCGACACTCACCAGAGATCTCCAGAGCCATTAACAGCGAGTCTTATAGTTGATTTTCCTTTGTGGGTTTCGAGGGGTTTGCTAGACTAGAGACGTGTTTATAATTTGTTTGTTTCGAGGAAAGGGAGTTTGAGAACTGAATAGCCAGCCCAAGAATGACAACACTGCAACGCGCAGATCGAAGATACTGAAGGAAGCGACAAGCAGGGACATGCAGAGGGACAGAGATCTGAGAGATCCCCACCTTCCCACACCAAAGCCTATTGCCTGGCTTCGTCCCTTGCCCCGGGAAGGCTCTTCCTGGGCTGCCGGGAGCTTTACGACGAGGACCGCCTGGGCGCCCTTGTCGCGGCCCCGAGTCCGGGCGCGACGCCGCGCGTGGCACTGAGCCTGGTGCGCCGGTCGCCCACGCATGCGAAACTGCTGAAGCTGGCGCAGGCAGGGTGGTCATTAACGCTTGGGATGGTTGGAGAGGTTAAGAGGGTGAGCGGGTGGAAGGAAATAGATGCATGGACTGATAACTGAAATTAAGTGGCGAAGTGTGATTGACGGTTTGCGTGTCGTAGTATATTCATTTTGTGATTGTGAGGGGCCACAGCACCAAAGGGGACCCATGAGAGAGAGAGAGAGCGCGCGCGCGACGAAGAACGATGACGTGGAAAACGATGGTATTAGAGTCATTCGAGGTCCTTGGACTGTCCTGGCCCAGGATGGCAGCCAAGCCCTTAGTCGGAAGTGGCTGGCGAAAATGCCGGAGGTGGTGCGTGGGGATGCGGAGTTGGTCCGAGAAGTGCTGCGCAGGGATGGAGTGGCGCTGCAGTATGCCTCAGAGGAGGGGCGAGTTGAGTCAGTGAGTCAAGGAATTTTGCATCCACTCGATATACACACAGACCAAAACCAAGACCCTTCAACAGGTCACCAACTGAGCCCTTGTGGGTTCAGCAAGCCTTTGTATATAGAGCAGACATGGGGAGTTGGAGGCCCTGGTAGAGCTCTGAGAGTGCAAGACTTGACTCAATAGCTTCAGAATTTCTTCTGGCTAATCGTCGGTTGACTGCCTATCAGCATGCAGGCTAGAGCATGATACAAGACTTTACAGACTTTGCATGTCTCATCATGCTCTTCCAGGAGCAAACAATGTTCATTTTTGCAGCAGACATGTAGGAGAACTTTGACAATCTTTGATACCACAAGTTCCACGGCAGGATCTCAAGGCCCATCCTCAGCTGGTGCTGGAAGCCGTCCGCCGCAGCGGTTTCGCATTGGAATATGCGGCCGAGCACCTGCGTGGCGATCGGCAGTTCGTGCTCGAGGCGGTGAAGCAGAACGGCTTTGCACTCGCCAGGGCCTCCGCTAAGCTCCAAGGAGATCCGGAGGTGATCCTAGCGGCCATTAAAGAGGAAGGGGCGGCCTTCGAGTATGCAGCTCAGGAGCTGAAAGGCTTGGTCCCAGTGAGTCAACTGAATCACTCCTGAATACTCCTGCTTGTACTTGCTGGTTCTTCCGTTCATGGCCATGAACGGTGCATCAACAAGAGAGTTTCTGAGGGTTTCACTCACCTGCAGCAGGTGACTTTGACTTCGCCTTGGAGGTTGTCTCATTGGGTGGCCCAGGTGCCATGAAACATATCTCAGCAGACTTGTGGGAGGACCCACGCTTTGTTCTCCACGCGGTGCGGCAGGCGCCCAGTGCTTTGGAACATGCCCAGGTGGGGGGTCAAAAGCATCGGCGTCCAAAGAGGATGGCATGAGTGGGTCAAGGAAAGATGATCAAATATAATCAAACATAGCTGGAACATGCTGAACTAGCACACTCCTATGGCCTGGGCATGGCCTCTCAGGGAAGCAAGCCAACATGAGAAAAAATTCAAGCATCGTCCATGTTCTGCGGCCAATAACCCCATTGAATCTCATCCTGACCATCGATCATTTGGAGGTTTCTGTGATTTTTTATGCCGCACAAACCCCAACACGGGGCTCCTGCTAAGTGTCTCTCAATCCACTATAAATCCACCTCAGGCGGAGGTCAAGGCTGAACCGACCTTTGTTTTGGAGCTCTTGAGCCGGAGCCCAGCCGCATTGCCCTTCGTGGCTGCAGAGCTTCTAGAGGAGATGGAGGGAGAAATGGTGAGCTGATGTTTTGCAGTGGGACAACTCATGGGTCGCAGTCAAGCTTATCGTCTTATCTTATTTGTTTAGATGGTCAGATATCTGTCTTTTTCCCCTTGAAGTGACATGTTCCGCTTGGCCAGGATCCAGCCTTTCTTCTGCGCGCCGTGGAACGTAACCCTGAAGCCCTGGCACACGTGCCCTCGGAAATGGCCATGGAACCGGCCTTCATCCTCATGGCCTTACGGTGCAACGGGCACTCGCTGCGGTATGTGAATCGAGGTCTCCTGAAGGAGAAGGGCTTTGCTTTGCAGGCCTTGGGAGCAGCGGGAGCTAAAGCCCTAGTTGATTTACCTGAAGACTTTTGGCAAGACAGGGACTTGGCTTTGACAGCACTGCGGATCGATGAGAGCGGTATCGAGAAGGTGCCAAAGAAGTTCTGGACCGATCGCGACTTCGTGCTGGCCGCCGCCAGGTTCCAGCCCTCTGTGCTGAACATGGTCGAGCCCGGATGGCTGAAAGAGCAGCCCTTTATTCTGTCAGTTCTACAGCGCAATTCCAGTTGTATCCGTTTCGTCTCTGAGGAGCTGCTGAAGGACCGAGCCTTCGTGCTCCAAGCCTTGCGCACCCATGGCTCTGTTTTAAAGCATTTGCCTCAAGAGATGCGCGCGGATCCCAGCTTAGTGCTGGCCGCCGTGCCCCAAACGGGCTTCGTCTTGGGCTTCGCGGCGGACGAGTTGCGCTTGGACAAGTGCTTTGTCCTGCAGGCGGTGAAGATCAACGGCTATGCATTGATCGGAACGCCTGAGGTCATGAGGTCAGATCGGGAGGTGGTTTTGGCAGCTGTGAGGCAGCAGGGGCAATGCCTGGAGTTTGCGACACCCGCACTTCGTGCCGACCCAGAAATTGTCTTGGCAGCAATCAGATCTTGCCCTGGCCCCATGGCCCACGTGGAGGAATGTCTTTGGAAGGATCCAGCTTTTGTGCTAGAGGCGGCTGCCCTGCATGCTTGTGCCATTCAACATGCGGATGATGCCTTGCGCTTGAACCGGCCCTTCCTGCTTTCGGCGTTCGAGCGGAACCCGGAATGCATTTGTTATGTCCATCCGCAGTTGCAGTCTGATCGGAGTTTTTTCATCGAACCCTGGCAGTGTCTTCCAGAAATTGTGTCTTTATGTTTCTTCACTTATGTGTTGTCTCCACGCCCCAATGTCGACATTGAAGTCATATGATGGTGGCTTCATGTCATGGTGCCCCCCCCCAAAAAAGAAAACATTATAAACACACATACACAGAGACTAATTGTGGGCTACCTGTTGTTCTCAACTTGTTCTGGGTCCCAGTAGATGCTCGCGAGGAATGCTTAGCGCTGAACCCGCATGCCTTAGAGTTTGTCCCCACGCAGATGCGCATCGACGTGGCTTTCCAAGCAGCGGCGAAGAGCCAGATCTCACCTGAGGAGGCAACCAAGTTGCCAGCACCTGCCTGGTGACAGTCATCTCACTGCCATCTATACCAAGAGGCCAAGGGAGAAACCCGCAGGTCGAAGACGGATTGGTTGCACGAGCCAAGGAAGAAAGAGGTTCTGTGTGTGGCTTCGGTGTGCAGTTAGAGTGGAATGTGAGCCTAGGGTGAACGAGCCTAGGGTGGGGTCAGCAATGATGTGCGGTGCGTGTTTTGATGGTTTCATCTTATTTGTCTCCTATTTGTCCCTTATTTGTTCCTGATTTTTCCCGAAGCTCCCCACAAGGGCAGGAGCCTATTTGTACCTTATTTGTTTCTTATTTGCCTTTCATTTGTCTCTCAAACGTTGGAATGCATGAAAACCCTTATTTGTCTTCTATTTGTGTCTCTTAAATGTGCTTTATTTTACACCTGGCTCGTTTTGGGTAGGCTCACTTTGCAGTTATGAGTGTCCGCATTCGTCCAGGGCACTTGGACCTATCGTTGTTTTTGAAGTGGCTGACACCGTGGCCAAACGCTGGCCAAGGCCAGCGTCGAGACGCCATGTGTGCGGTTCCTCGAGTAGAAACAAGTCCTCATGAAGGCTTCACGCCACACCAGATGGACCCCCACACCAGACGATGAATCGGAATGTCCGACCGATGAAAAACCTTTGCAGTCTTTGATCGATTGATTTCTCATGATTTCTCCGTGGTTATGGCTCAAGCCGCGAGCTGTTTGACTTTGGTCCGACCTGCCTTTGTGCGCTCTCGACCTAGGCCGCAGGCTATCAACCCGTGTTTGACACTATGATCCTGGGCGACAAGTCTTTGAGCAACCCGAGGATCCACAATGATGCATAATTCTGCAAAATCAATTGCACAATGACAATTGAATCTAGTAACTCTGGAGGGCCTGGAGGTTCTTACCTGGCAACATTTGGTATTGAAGGACACACTTGGACTCAACAAACATAACAACACATCCTCCAAGTTCAATTTCCTGGGAAGCCGTCAAACTTTGGGCCAGCAGACACCAACAAAAACCTACACCAGGACCCATGTCTACCACATCATGTGCCCTCGCTGAGGAATCGCGATGGTGTGCAGGACTTGGCGCAGGTGAACTCGGCCAGCAATGTCTTTGCGCGCATTGTGGCACGCAGCAAGGGCCTGCCACTGCCAGTGACTTCGAAGGCCCTCACTGCAACGCGTGTGTCGACACCCGCACATGTCTTAGCGTGTCTCGAGTTTGGTACAGGATCGGTGTAGAACATTTACTGTAGAAGTGCTGGTGCTGAAGCAACCTTGAGCAAGTAATATCAAGTAATTCGGTGAAAGCTTCTGCTAATGTGAGTTATATATGTTCCAGTACACGTAGGCAGTGGCCAGGTGGTAGGCTGAGGGAGCAATAAATGTTCCCCATGCTCATGTCATTCTTCATGTTGCTTTGCGTTTTCCATTTCATACCATCCCACCACCACGCCAAACTGCTGCCATTTCCGCCGTCCTTCGCTGTGTGTCAGGTGGTCTACAACTGCAACACTGGCCAAGGATGGACAATGTGGAAAGATGTGCCCTTCAGTGCCGACTCGGGCTTGATGTCAGTGCTGATTCCCGTCGGAGGCATGTGGCAGGGGTTGTGGAAGCGGCGTGCATGCACTGATTCATGGGTTTGGACACTTTTGCATGTAAAGTCAATCATCCTTCCGAAGGACATTTGGTGAGTGGACGTCCACTCATCAAGAGGTCCGTGGCATGATTTGGGAAATGACTCAGAATGTCTCAAACAAGAGGCTCAAACAATGGATCTATGTATACAACATATATTTGTTTTGCTTGCCTCAAGGCTCTAATCATTGCAAGGGTGTGCGTAGAAAGTTTAAGTTCATTGGCCCGATTGAATGAAGCAGACAATGTTAACCAGAGTGGATTCAAGCGTTTGTTTTCCTATTCGCTATTCATCCACGCAGGCATACGCAGGTTCAAAGAAACTACCGACAGAATTGGCTTTGTCCATCCTTCCCCAAAAAAAGCCAAAATCGCTACCCTCATGCCCTTCATGATAACTTGCTAAACTACTCGGGGCATGGGATTGAACACACGGCAATCACTCTGCAGGTTCTCTTGCCGTTGGCATTGCGATTGGTAGGTATTTTAAGAAGTGAGGCAGTGAGGCTGCTCTGAATGGGATGTTTCTCCAATTTCTTTTTGGAGAGGCCGCGCACTGTGTGACTTTTCTGACCTTTGATTGACATTTCAAGAGACCGACGGATTCCAATCGAAAAGCAAACCTAGCCGTCATGAATCATAGGGATATGTGTGTATATAATATATATATATACATTGTATAAATATAGATTTATATATATATATACACACACATATATATATATATGTATATGGTTACAAAAGCCAGCCGATAGGCTAGGCTGGAGTTGATGGGCGAACGAAGTGAGGCCGGCCGTGTAGGGTGAACCCAGAGCCTGGTGGGGGAAGAGCAACAAAAAGAGGCGGTCCGGAAAGCAGTGAACATGTATGGTTTTTGTGGTCTGGTGATGCGAGTGATGTAATCGACGCCGAAAAGTGCATCATTAGCATCACGAAGGGCTCAGGAGACTATTTGGACAGTCTTTCGACGAGGGGTGGGAGTTCGGGTAGAGGACAGGAAGGGGGGGACTACGTGACAGGAAATGCAAGAAAAGAGGTACGGTCGGGATCTCACCAGGCTAACCAGGTGCGTCTATCCAGTCAGAAGATAGAAGCGCGAGATTTGCGCAAGCCGGAGTTTATTTCGATAGAGATAGCGTTTGGACAACACACAAGGACAACTGCGGGCTTCATTTTACAGCTGCGTCTTCCCCATATTGGGGGGCTCACTAGACCGAAGAGTGCAGGTAGAGGACAAGAGAGGGAATAGAATGCAGTCAGCAACCTTTAAATTGCTTGGGGGTGCTCCTTTTTATGGTTGAAAAAGGGCACGTCTCAGAGCTATAGATGTCCAAGGGGTCGGGCTTTAGTACGGATCGGAGCCTATCCTATGCCCAGTAACAGTGGATGGGAGTTGATCCAGGGGTTGTGTACATCGGCTCTTTTCTAGCATGCCCGGCTTCAAGCCACTGCGTCTCTCAGCCCCTGCTGTTTGCAAAGGCAAAAGTAGCAAAACCGGTCAAAATGAATGTTAAGGAATAAGAGTAGAAGGAAATACAAGAAACGATGCCACCACACTGAGGGAGCTGACCAGGGTAAACAGGTGTGTCCATCAGTTAGGGGACAGAAGCGGCGAGACTCTGCGCACACATGCGGGCAGGAACCTCTGAGTTGCTTGGGGGGGGCCCTTTTGTATTATGAAAAGGGTTGTTCGCCGGGTGAAAAAGACCTTCTCCAAGCTATGCATGTCGAAGCGGGTCGGATTGTACGAATCGAAATCTATCCTATGGAGTTGATCCAGGCATTATATATATCGGCTCTATCATATCGAACTTCAATGCAAAGCTTTGCATTTTAGCCTTTTTCTTTCCCGCGATTAATAAAAATAGAAACAATTGTAAATTTGATTTTGCTTTATGATATTAAAATTAGCCCTAAAATAGGAATATTGATTATACTATAAATATTCGATATTAATAATTGAATCTATTTTTATAGATATTGAATTATATATTGTATCGTAAAATACGATAAAATTCTATATTATAAGAAAAATATCTATTTATAGAAATATTTTTGGTAATTTAAAAGAATATTTTAAAATGTTATTATGTATTTTTAATTATTGAATTTTAAATTTTAAAAATTAACGATTTTTAATATATTTTTATTAATATTTATATTATTATTATTATATATTATTATATTTAATGAAATTCTTAAAAATATATAGGGCTTAGGATTTTAAATATAATAAATATTTGATGATTATAAAGGATATTGTTTATAAAAACCGATTTTTCTATTAATAATTTGTATTATTAATTTTTATTAATTTGATATATATTTTTGTATTTTTTGATATTTATTTAAATATATTGTTAATATTTGTTATTTACTATCGATGACGATTGCGATCACGATGGTTGTGGGCGAGGAAGGGTTTAATTCGGGGTGATATTTAATAAATATGTGAACTACGGTTAAAACATGCGAAGACCACTTTAGTAAAGACGGGTAAGTTTGTGCATAAAACCTTGCAAAACGATAAGGTTTACCTTAAAATCGATAACCCCAACATTGTATATGATTATAAGTATGCGACGAACTTAAAACATTATAAAATGATAAGGTCCAATTCAAAACCGATGACTCCATTTTTTTGTTGAAGAAGAATAAGGAGTTTTGCCCGTCCCTCATGTTATGGAGATTCGTTTGTTTATTAATTATTTTTGAAAAAATAACGAAAGGATATAGATTAATATTGGTGGATTTATATAAATTTGGAACGTATTTTTTTAAGAAAAAAATATTTAAATATATTAAATATTTAAAAATATATTATCGAATACAATTTAAATTGATTATTTTTATTTATTGATTTAAAATTGTATTTATTATTCTTCGATTTATATATATTGAATGTAAATAGGCAATATATATATATATAATTTTTATGAAATAAAATATTTCTAATTTCCGAATTTATGTTATAGGCAAATTATATTAATAAAAATTTGGTAATATTTATTTTGTTGCATCCGATATGATTGAAATAGATAATTTTATCGAATTATTTTTTAAAAATAGATTTAAATCCGTATATATGAATTATTTTTGATTTTAATTTTTTGGTTATATGAATAATGTTCAATTGATTTTTATGAAAATTAATTTTCATTGAAGGTGTTAATTGAATTATATTTAGCAAACGAAATGAATAAATATAGGGGGTTAGGGGGGGACGGCCCGAGAACCTATTACGTAAATTCAAAATTAGGTGGGGGAGAGGGGTGTGCGGAAATAAAATTTTTGAGATTATATTTTGTATTTTTTGAGGGGGTGATGATGCAAGAAATGCAATTTATATCATCTGAGTGGTAAGGTGTAATTGGTACCTTGCTAAATATAAATATTTGGGATAGTTATAATTCATTTGTCAGGTATAATATTTAAATTGCCTTTCCGTCAACCGCTACTAGGTATAAGACTTCAAATTCCCTTTCCGTCAACCGTTCGATAACCTTTATATACGCACAGCACGAATGAGACTTCAAAGCTGTGGATTGCTGTGCGTGTATAGAGGTTATCGAACAATTGATGGAAAGGGAATTTGAAATATTATTCCTGATAATTGAAGTATAGCTACTCTGGGTATACCTGGCAATTGCCTTGTAGTTGCCCTGGGTCCGTGCGTGCGCGCTTAAATCTAAAGCAGCCGGGAGCCAGC